TGATGCTCCTGGAGTAATCATTGCGTGTTTTGGCGTGAGTTTGATGGACGGAGCACATGGCTCCTAGTTGAATTACTTCAGGGAAAGTGTTACCCTTCCTCTTCCGGTGACGAGTGATGGAATAACAGGTTACAGATATGGATGTTCAAAAATCATTTTTCAGGTCAAATTTAGGGATAATTTATTGTAATCATATTTATTTTTCGTTTGATATTATGCGCTAATATGCTTGAATTTTTATAGTCATGCCGCTTTCGCATATAATTCCAAAATACCCTTCATTTCTTCTTCAATTTAAGAATGTTTCCAAAAAAAAACTTCACTACAAAGCAAATAACTCAAACAGCGAAATGGTGAATTTTTTGGCTATTTTCTTTGATATTAAATTCTTGATAAACTTGCGATTTAAGCAATCAAGTGATTTTAATAAAGCAAATAACAGCTTGTAGCGCAGAACAAACGGTAATCTCTCACCTCCCAGGCATTGAGTGTTAAACATGGTTTAAACCGAGAGTGGTAAATAAGGTTAGGACGCCTTCGCCGCCTGCGGCTCGAATAAAGAGGTAACCAACCCATAGATCGGAGCCAGAACTTCGTAAATTGCCAATCAAATTGCCAAGAGACGAGAGTTAAGAGTTGAATTCGTAAATTGCCAATCATCGTCAACAACTGAGCGGGCAAGAGGCGAGGAGTGAGAGTTGAATGTGACTGATGGCATCCCTTGCCGCTTCATTATCAGCCAAGAAATTAGCAAATATCTGCTTTATTCGGCAACTTAAAATGGTGTAATAATTGATACACAGGATATGACCATTGTAAAGAATTTCGATACAAGTTTCCTTTTTTCATGCATGATAATTCTAAAGAAAATATTATAATTGTAGAGGTCAAAAATCACAATTTTATTATGGGACAAAAATATATTGTTGAGAGTCCTCCCAACAATACAGTTATAAATCCAATCATGAAAGCGTGTCAGTGTCTAATATTCTGAATGATTAAAAATGTTTTCCTATTAGCTTTACCCATCCCATACTTGTTATTTGATGTGAATGAGTTTTTAAATAATACAATACCTCTCTACTCAGAAATCCAAGTGGTGCTATACCGTCGTCGCCATGGATATTTCGCCAGGGGGCAGCTTTATGGCAAGCTAATCAGCTCACTTCCTCTCAGTTGGCCAATTTTAACTGCTCCGAGTTCGCTGAGTCAGCAAAGAACGATTCAATTCTGGGAGTAAGGCTGCATTTTGAGTGTTTGCTAACTTTGAAATAATAATTTCACCAGAATATCTTTTGATGTAGAATAACTCAGAATTTGATAACATTATTTGTTCATTTCTCGTATGAAATGAATATTTAGAAGTCTGAATTTTTTATTCACTGTAAGCGTGACATACAAAAGAATGGCTTAGAATTTTAAATTTTTGAATGAACGTTAAAGTATTTAGGAAATACTTCGCTGAGTAGTATATACCTTACGTCAAAGTATCGGGATCTTGAAGTAGCACCTCGAAAGGAGCACTTTAAGTGGCTGCTCTTGTACCTAGAGCTCACGTCATCGGTTACGGTTCAATCATTGTTGATCCTCTTCTTCGGAGTTTGACAATTGGACGGTTATAAATAGATGCGGTGGATAGATTAACAGCATACCGTCGTGGTGAAACTTTTATAGCGATAGCTACCCGTGGTACTCTCTCACCTTCTTTAAACTATGACGTCACCTGCAAGTAAACGATGTTATGAGTTCGTATCCACTTGAAACCGTTTAAACCTATGCAATAGGTTTTGCATTCCTTAGACAATTTGTAGTCCCTATTTTGGTCAAAATCGTATTAATGAAGTTTTTGTACTGATGATGGAGCTGGACTCCGATAAGCTTTCACTGCAGACAAAATGAATTTCTTGGCGTTTTCTTTGATTTAAATGCTTAGTTCATATGACAAGTTGCAACGAATCCGTCATTTCCTAATCTAAAGTAGAATTGACTTTGCATAAAATTTTAAAAACAACCCACACTTTTTCTAACTATGACAATTTGGAATTTTAGAATTTATGCAGAATTTGTCACAAATTTTCATAAAGCATCGAACGAGTATAAATGCATTGACCAAACCTTCATTACTGCATTTCTTCTAACAATAATTAATGCTCCGTGAGTCCGACTGAGGAAAGTCTAATTCTCAGCTCGGATTTTTTTTTTTGTAGAAGGCCGTAGATTGATTTTCGTATAGATAAAACATAGAATAAATTTTCATCGAAATGCATTACCTAAATATTGATCTAAAAGAGGGCTAAATAGTAGTTTCCACGTTGATTAAAATGATTTGATGTGCTATACCGATTTTTAAAATGTGTTCTAAATTCATGTAAAGAAAAGAGCACTTTTTGCCCTCATGTGATGGTGCCTTCATGTGATGGTGCCTTCATGTGATGGTGCCCTTATTTTGATGGTGACTTCGAGTCTTAATTCCGCACCAAAGGATGGGCGACTCAGACGTCGTCCACTGCATGTTGATTGGGTCTCTATAAACAAAATTAGCAGAGCCTCACATACACGACATACATACGACATTCACCAAATGCAAACGATCAGTCACATGCAGTCACATCAGTCAAACGATCAGTCACATGTAGCTATATATCAATCATACTGGTCATTTTTTCGTCACAAGAAAACGATCACTTATTCGCCACATGCGATCGATCACTTGTTCGCCACATGCAGCCGATCAATTATTCGCCACATGCACACGATTAATTATTCGCCAGACATATACGATTAATTATTCGCCACGGGCAAGCGATCGCTTATTCGTCACGTGTGAGTGATCATCTGTTCGCCACATGCACACGATTAATTATTCGCCAGACATATACGATTAATTATTCGCCACGGGCAAGCGATCGCTTATTCGCCACGTGTGAGTGATCATCTGTTCGCCACATGCACACGATTAATTGTTCGCCATACACTTACGATCAATTATTCGCCACGTGCAGTGATCACTTATTCGCCACGTGCATACGATTAGTTATTCGCCGTATATATACGATCGCCTATTCGCCTCCTGCAAACGATCAATAATTCGCCGCTATCGATCAATTATTCGTCAACTATTCGCCAATCAATCAACTATTCGCCACACACAAACGTACACGTATAACGATCATTTATCCGTCACGCAGGAACGACCGCAAAAATGCACCGGGAAAATTGGTAACCCAGTCTGCTTTTCTTACATGTTTAACTTTGATTACACGGGTCTGAAAAATCTTAAAATTGTTTTTATTTTTGAATGGGTGACTGTTTTTTCGCATTGATTTCATTTGGGTCACGATAACTTCAATTAATGCCTTGAGAGGGCATTCTTCTTTTCTTTTCTTTTATATATTTTCTTTTATATATATTCTTTTCTTTTATATATTTTTACCTTTTTTCACCTTTTCACATTCTTCCTCAGTATGTACAAGAGGAGCGCTCCAGTTAGGTAGATCCGCTTCACCGCGCCACTGAAACTGATAAAATATGAGCCATTAAAATATACGTTTAGAAATTACCAGACACTTCTAAAAAAATCCAGTGTCTCCAATGTAAAACCTGTACAATGAATTTCTAATTTTAATTTCGAATATTATTAAAAAAAAATTTAAAGTTATCTTAATACATAAAAGAAATTACATTTTCAAAATTATTTATTATGTCAATTGATTCATGCATTGTCTTCAACTTTACGCAAGTCTGCAAAATTCAGATAGATTGGACCAATGGACCATGGTCCAATCTGTCCATGGATTGGACAGCTAGAAGTGTGTTAAATATTGATTATAACATTTGTACCAGACAAAATTATTTTTTTAGTTTTTTAATATCAAAAAAATATATTTTAAAAATTATTTATTTTGTCATTTGATTTATGAATTGTCTCCAACTTTACGCAAGTGCGCAAAATTTTAGATCGATAGGATAAGACCGATTCGACACTTCAGCGAACTCGCCTGCGAGCTCGAATGCAAAACCTAACTTCATTTTCAACTGTGGCACTCATAACTCCTTCAATTATGAACAGATTTTATTCAAATTTGAAATATAAGTAGATAATATCAGTATTTTGCGGGGGGAATTTTTTCAGATTTTTGCATCAATAACTTTTTTGTTAATACGGAAAACCTAACTTCATTTTCAACTGTGGCACTCATAACTCCCTCAATTATGAACAGATTTTATTCAAATTTGAAATATAAGTAGATAATATCAGTATTTTGCGGGGGGAATTTTTTCAGATTTTTACATCAATAACTTTTTTGTTAATACGGAAAACGAAGTGTCGAATCGGTTAGGATAAGTAGAAGTGTGTTAAATTTCGATTATCAGATTTGTAGCAGACAGACAGACGGACAGACAGACAAACAAGAAGTGAAGTTAAAGAGAAGTGTTGTAAAAATATCTTTATTTACAATACGCTCCTGTAATCGTTGTCAAATTCCTCGATTAAGGTATTGTTTGTCGCTTTCATGCGCCTGCACCTAGGGTTTGGAAACGCTGTGTGCTCGACAGTGGTGAAGCAACGAAACTAAAAAAGGATAGAATTTTTGTGTTTAGTCGAATTTAGCGCTTAAAACATTTATTTGAAACAAAGTGATCGAATAAATCCTAACAACGCTTGTAGAATCGTGTTGCAAATAAGTAGCTTCTCTGATAAATTGGTGAATATCGGTTTCGATCAGACAAAATTGAGATGAAGCGCTAAAATTTTCCTACAGTCAATAATCTCATCCATATGAATCATCATATTGATGATTATTGATGATTGTACATCATATTGATGATGATTATACATCATCAATATACAATCCTACAATCTCATCAATATGAATATGCTATTAAATAACTGAAATTATCATTTAAATCATATTTGGCGCGTAACATTTTTTGAAACTAAATATCATTTTATATTTACAGAATTCGCGCTTACCTACTCCGTCTGAATTCCTCACCTTGTTCATTTGGCAACATTTTCGTGCCCGCTTCTGAGAATTCTACTATTGGATGGGTCGTGTCGTATCATTTTCTATATATTCTTAGTCTAATTACGCAGTGATTGTGCAAGTATAACGCCAAAATGCCTTTCTACGGTGGCCGGGGCCCCCCTGATATCAAGGGCATGTCCTCTTTGAAAGTGGACAATCTTACATACAGAACAACTCCTGAAGATCTGCGACGCTGTTTCGAGAAATATGGCGACATCGGTGATATTTATATTCCTCGCGACAGATTCTCTCGGGAGAGCCGAGGGTTCGCATTTGTTCGGTAAGTAAAGTAATAAAAACTAAATTATATTCTGTACGAGTTTGTGTAATCTGATGTCAGTGATGTGATTAGTGATTGTACGAAGATTTAACATAGTGGCAAAGCAGAGAGTTTTTTAGACTCTTCCTCAAGTTCATTTTTGAGTCCTATAAGTAGACCAGTAAAGTATCTTGGATACCAGAATTATCATACATAAGAAATATGTTGAAATCTTGAGTAGGTAAATGAGAAAATTAAAAATGAACTTATTCTAAAAAATCTCTGGCTTGCCACTGTGACGAAAAATAATTATCTGTATTTCTACTAGCCTAGTCTGTAAGGTTTCCAGTTGATTTTAGCCCTTGACCTCGAGGCTCGATCATGCTAAGTTGTTGAAAACTTTTGGGTTTTGATTAATGGTTATTACCTAATGAGAGGATGGAAAAATGAACGAAGAACGAAAGATTGCATGGTCAAGTGCCAAATGGATTTAGATGTGAGTCATCATCATGTGACAGAAGAGAATATAACAATTAGGTATATAACAAATCTGAGGTAGGTACCTTACCGTACCTACCTAGTAGGTACTACATACTAGGTACTCACTACTCAGTACTAGGTAGGACTTATTACATAGTGGCAAACCAGAGCTTTTTTGGAATCAGTTCATTTTTAATTTCCTCAAAAACTCAAGATTTAAACCAATTTCTTAAGTATGATAATGCTGGTATCCATGATACTTTACTGGATACTGGTCTACTTATAGGACTCAAGAATGAACTTGAGGGAGAGTCTAAAAAATTCTCTGCTTTGTCACTAGCCTATGTAGGACTAGGGCTAGGCTACGCAAGTGTCTAAACAGTTTGTGCACTTATGATCCCAGGGTGTGTACTGATCTTGAAAAATCTGGAATGTTCTGGAATTAAATTTGTCATTTTCCAGGCCTAAAAAGTACAGGAATTTCATTTCAGATTATGGAAAATACTGTTGTTGTTGTCTTCTATTTTACATAGGTACACTGCGATTATTTTACCAGGCATTAATATAGATTGTTTCCTATCAAATGCAGTCTTTGGTATTACTTTAGATTAAGTGCATGAGTGTGCATCCAAAAAAAAGGCATTTTTTTAATATGTTTTTGGGGTGTAGATTAAGAATCTGAAATCCGTTTTTGGCGGTTGGCATTGGAAAACCAATTTTTTATATATTTTCTATAGAAAACGACAATGGGGATCGGAGGAACTAGGGGTTTTAGGGGGGACACGCCCGAGGCTCTAATAAGTCTAATTTGTCAAAAAAAAATCAGCAAAAAATTGGAAAAAATCAGAATTTTTCTTGACTGCAAATGATCTATTTTCAATGTTCAATTTTTCACCGACTTTTGCCAATTTTTTTTAAGAATAAGAGCCTCGGGAGTGTCCCCCCCCTCCTAGAACCCCCGGTTCCCCACGGGTCCCCCATTGTCGTTTTCTATAGAAAATATATAAAAAATTGGAAAAAATTGGTTTTCCAATGCCCAAAAATGGATTTCAGAATCTTAATCTACACCCCAAAAAACATAAAATTAGAAAAAAAACACCCTGTTTTTGGATGCACTTAATCTAAAATATTACCCAGTCTTCAAACGCACAATTGTGAACTCGAATCCATTTTTGAAAATTATGAGAATGAAAGGACCAAATTTCTGGCGCTCTCCGTGTACTACAACTCTGACCGCTCGAACTTTTCTATGTTACCCATGGGGAGAAGGAGACTGAAAGTCATTCACATGTGTGTGCCTGAGAACATGTGCATATTTATCACTGGTGCATGTGCAGCTTTAGCACTGGTGCATCTCCTGCATCCTCATTGCTAGTTTCTCTGTTTCTTTGTTCCTATAGTTTTTTTATCTCATTGTCTGTGACTTTGTTGCCCGCCATTGAAAGAACTGCATGAAATAAAATACCTTTGCGAAGCATGAAGCTCGATTAGCGGAGCGCAAAGCTTGAGAAGGAAGGACAGTAAAGTTGCTTATACACGGGGCTACCAGTTGCGTATATTGGTTGCGTCTACTACAGTTTTGCAGGTTGCGAGCCTATACACAAGTATAGTGTTCTCGGTACACTGCGCCCGCGTCAGTGCGACATTGGGAGTTGTCAAGTAAGGGTGTGCATGGTGGAGGCATGCAAGAGCACGATAACAGTGCACGCTACAGTGGGCAAGAGAGAGAGCGACACAGCTGTACTGGGTATGACAGCCGGGTGGCTACTGAGCGCAATAGACTGCTTCAAAACAACTCTAGGTGCTCTGCCTGCAATGAACCCGCTAGTTGTCTCTGAACACGTCAAGCATCACAAATTTTAGTAGCCTCGCTGAGTAGATGCAACCAGTATACGCAACTGGTAGCCCCGTGTATAAGCACCTCGAGGAAGCCAACAAGACACAGTTGAAGAACTGTCTCAATTTGCTTATTGATGAAAAAGAGATTCCCTGACACAGATGTGGATGGTGTTGTGGATGAGATGTTCAACTTTAGAGATGAATCACAACATTGCAGTGAATTGAATGTGCAGTTTTAAGCATTTTCAACTTCTGATCAACTGGACACTTTTTGGCTTGCCATCCTGCCAAAGAGCACCTACAAGAAGCTCTGGAATGTAGTGCAGATGCTCATGCTCCTGTCTCGTGGCCAAGCCATGGTTGAAAGGGTTTTCGTTCAACAAGGAAATCATGACGCAAAACATGAAAGAACAAACATTGGTTGCTGTGCGTGCTGTGGTTGATCATGTTGCACATGATGGTGGCCTGTACAAGATGACCATCACCAAGAAGATCTGCTTCAGCTGGCAGTGCCAAAACTGCTTACGATACTTATTTGGCAGAATAGAAAGAGCAGAATGCAAAGGCCCAGAAAACCCAGAAGAGGAAGGCTCTGTTGGATGAGCTAGATGAACTGAAGAAGAAAAGGCATACGGAGGAGGGCATCAAGGCGCTTGAGCAAGCAGCAGATGAATATGAAGAAGCAATGGAGAGAAAGGGGTATTTGAAAATCATCGCAAAGTTCAACGCCATGAGGCAATCTTTGAAAACAAAGCAACAGGAGCTAGACACTCTTGAACTGAACATTGAAGAAAAAGTTGATGAAGTAGCTGCCAGTTGAATGATAGGGTAATGGTGTTGAATCGTGTTCTGAACTGTATTGACATTATCATGTGCAATATTGTGTGCATTACTCAATATTTGTTGTGATTTAATGCTATTGAATTCATAATAATAAAAGTGTGGGCTTGATTTCCAGATTTGTCATTTTTGATCATCTGTGTCCACCTGCTCTATGCATTTACATGTTTGCTAGTTTAAGTTATCAACTTTAGGAGATGATAGAATATGCATGGTTACTCTTTCATTCATGCTAAACCTGTCGTATACAAGTCCTGAAAAATTATACTGACGATCATGGAGAGTCTTGGAAAAGTTCTGGATTTTTTTTTTCTCAATGTCAGTACACATTCTGTGATCCTCCTTTTCCTTTATAGTCACTAGTCAGTCACCTGACAGCATTGTTATGTAAGAAAAATTTTCCACCTTAAGTGAAAAGCTTTTTTATAAATTATAAGTGAACTTCAATTCCTAGAATCCACACTGCTAAAGTGGCAGTTCCTAGTAGTATGTATGGATTATATGTGATAGATTGCATATTGTGATGGTGAGCTAGATAAATGCAAGTGGTATAGAAATGATAAAACTTATTTCCAATCCGTATAATGAAAACCTGGACAGAAAACTCTTCCCATTGTCATTCCTATTTATAATAAACATTGTTCACAAAAACCTAAGTGACTACAGCAGCAATGTGCTCAATTACAACTCATAGATAACCTAGATTACTTAAGCACATTGCTCACAGTAATAGAAGTGATCACATTAGGTGACGCGAGCCAAAATTACCACCACAGGCTTGCTTCACTTGGTACACGTTTTGTGAAATAATGTCTAATTTCAATTATGACCAATGTGCTCTGAATACAGTCACCAATTTTATGTAACAAAATGACAGAACGCACCTCTGCAGAGCTGCAACAATTTTTTTGCCCTGCCTGCCATCTGCCAGGGAACTGAAGATATACATGTTTGAACCTGTCGCCTGTATTGCTAATGGACCAAATCTGCCATCGCGGCTCACATATTAATCTTCATTGTGCTCTGACAGGCCATGAGTAGTATCCTGCTACAACTTGCTGATCATGGCCTAATATAAATAGAGCACATTATTCTTGGTATTTGAAATGATTCAACAATTGCCTTGCAGCATTTTTTCTATGCTACTTCTGTTGGTATAAGGTGTAGTTTTACTTCTTAGCTACTTTCAATGACATGTTGTCACCATTTTGCCGATACTGCACTTTATTTGCTGCTTTTCACAATATATCTCTTTAAAACTGGTAAGAACGGCTATTTGCAAGGTTTGATTACAAAAAAAACTAAATAGCTTGTTCCTGCTATAGAGTTGTGGTTTAATTTTGTTTGGTAATTATTTCTATTTATGGCCACTGAAATCAGTACTACAGTGAATTGTGGGCTGTGATCTTCAAAGTTTGGTTCGGTGTTCTAAGTTTGCTCTTGTTATTACTAGCAGCCACCAAGCCTTATGGCTCCTCTGCCTTAGAGAAATGGATGGCACCTGTGATAGCTTGCAAATTTCAGAGCCTAATGAAAATGACAAACAAGTGCTAGTTTATTGATCACTACTTCACTAGACCTTGAATTGTTGGCCTTGACACTTAAGTTTGAGATATTTCAGGTGGTCTTCATCATTTAAATGATCAGCTCTTTATTCCAAAGAAGCAATGGAAAATACTGCATTGTCTGTTGAATTCTGACATTAAACCAGCCCATGTTTTTTATCCCAATTTAAGAGTTAGATTTTAATCTTGCTGTGGAATAATTTTCCTCAGAAAAAGTTCTAGTTGACTACTTATTACCTAACAAAAAATGGTTACAAAATTCATGTAATTGGTAACTGATTAATAAACTGTGCAGATTTTATGATCAGCGTGACGCTGAAGATGCAATGGAAGCTCTGGACGGACGTCGTCTTGATGGGCGCGAGCTGAGGGTGCAGATGGCGCGATACGGGCGTCCTGAAACGCCCCCCAACAGGCGACGCAGAAGGAGGTGGGCATAGCCTTTTAAAGTTGTTTAATTTTCATGTGTAAGGTATGCTTTTTGAAACTACTTGTTAGCAATTAAGAAATCCTTATTAATCGTTATTGGTACTGTTCAGTTTTTATTTATTTTTACTAAAATTCTCAGTACATTTAATTAAAATGTCTCTAAATTATGCTGTGGTTTTTATTTTATCAACATATTACCGTTGCGCATCACACATCCTACACAATTTTCTGCTAATGAAAAGATGAGAAGAGATATGAATTTTTAATAAAATTTAAATTGGTATTTCGAGTTTTGAATTACGATCAGAATTATTAGTTAAGAGACAAGTTGGTGCACCAATAAGTTGAATTGAAGACAAAACTAGTATGCCGCGAATATTCAGTTCTTGAGTTTCTTCAATCAAATAATTCTTTAGTCCCTACCATGTACTTGTGTTGTTGCTGCATGATTGGGGATGTGGTTACCCTGTGAATGTTTTTAATTTCTGTCACGTGATCGCTACAATCGTTCCTGCCGACGAGCTTACTCAAGGTCTTGCCTATTATGTGGCGAGCCAGCTAATTTCTTTACTTTTGTTATCTTATTCAATTAATTTTCATTCAGGGTTGGCAATGATTAAATCAAACTGATTAAATCACTTGATTTTTTTTTATTTTTTTTTTTTTTAGTTTTTACATATTTAAATATATTAAGTGACAGTCTTCAATTTATTTTGAGGATCACATTATAAAATTTACATGTGTTAGCTAGCTTATATATGAAAGGTTGGTTGAGATTGTACTATTGACCTTCTGGGCATTAAGAAAGATTTTCCACTCTAATATGAGTACCGTCAAGTGGGGTGACTTGGGCCACCACTACAACAGAAACAAATGGCTGCAAAACAAAATAATAAACGTTGGCCAAAGTGCCTGGGGTGACTTAAGCCAACGTTTATTATTTAGTTATGCTGCCATTTGTTTTTGTTGTGGCGGTGGCTGAAGTCACCCCACTTGATGGTATTCTAATTGGAACATTTAATTTCAATCTTTGAATATGTGAATTTATAACCAGAAACAAAATAAATACAATTATAAAGCTATACCGTATATAAAATAATTAAATGCAGTGAATGGAAATAAAATGTTTGAATTGTGTACATGTATATTTCAAACTGTATTAGCTTTTCTCATAACATAAGTTTCGTTTCAAGTCGTTAAAGGTTTGTTTGGTTGTTGTTCAGTTAGTTTAGTATTGGTTAATTGGTCTGAATCAAATGAGAACATTGCTGTCAGTCACTCAGTCACTAGGTACTAGTCGGTGTGTTTAGAGGGTAGAGTCTGGTAGATTTGTTGTACTTGAAACTAGTAGATCTATTGATAGTGTTGTGCACTGTGCTATCAGCTACCCATCTGTTATGTGACTCTGCAATGTTTAGAAGATCTGCATTCCTGAAATGTTGTATATTGAAGCCAGTTGAATAGTCGTTACCTTTTGTATGGTATGGTATTTAGCCGTTTATACAGGGTGAACCAGAATTAACTGACCCTTTTAATTTGTTAATAAATAAAAAACTAAGAACGTTATGAAGTTAAAATTTGTTTTATTTAAAAGAACATTTTTATGGTAATATTGTATCCTAGTTTTTAGGATACAATAACTAACTAGGATACAATATTACATACAATATTTTAACTAATACATATTATTAATACATAATAAATATTTTAACTAATACAATAATAAAATATTGTAATAGGATACAATATTTTAACTAGGATAAAATATTACCATAAAAATGTATTGAGTAAACTGTAAAGTGAAAAGTAATTTACTTTTTACTGGACATGCTTAATTTATTCCCGAGTACACGTTTCTTGTTATATGCATAAAATGCATAATCATTTGAAGTCTAAATATTGCTACATGTTGCTTATACATTATCTTGCACTGGTTATAAGCTATTGTTTATAATTTATCTTCATCTCCCTTAATAAAATAATCATTCATAGTATCCAGTTCTGCGGAATAAGCACGTTTATTCAGGAAAAGTGAATACCGGTAATCTCTTAACGCTGTCAGCGTTCTCTAATGTTTATTAGCATGATTAAGTTCATCTATGCGCTGTATAGGTCACGTAAATGTGTGGCTTGAAAGATGTCTGTAGTCCAGTCAGAGAATTCTTAGTTATTTAACAGTGAGTGTTATCTTTCCTTCCTATTGATACGAAAAAGTATCATGTCTTGTGTTTACCCTGGTCTTTTTTTTATTGTTCAGCCGCTCCATTTCGCGCTCTCGTTCGCGAAGCCGCTCGTCATCGAGGCGCCATTACCGCCGTTCACGCACTCGCTCCCGGTCCAGATCTCGCTCACGTTCTCGCAGGAGGCATTACACCAGGTAAACAAACCATGAAACTCGCTGCTTCTGCTTTTATACTGCCTTAAAGCTAGTCCAATACAATGAAACGTGATAAAAATAATTAGCTAATTTTTTGTGGAGTATAGTTTCTTGCATAGCTGTTGAATTGACGAGTGAAGAGTAGATAATCCTCAATAGCAGGTGTAATCATTAAATCTACGGTAAATGAAATATTACTGTAAATCGTTTCTTCATTTTCAAAGGCTCTTTTTTTTCTCTGGAGGTGTCTCGATTCATACGGTTACTGTTGCGCAGGTCGCGATCGAACTCTCGCTCCCGCAGCGGCAGCAAGAGCAGGTCACGCTCTCGTTCATGCGACCGCCGACGCGACGACGGAAGCAAAAGCCCTGAGCAGGATCCCCCTACGCACCAACATGATGCTGAGGAGCGCCCGGTCCAAGACAGCAATGGGCAGCATCGTGAAGACTCGGCTGAGAAGGATGCCGCTCCTTCTGGCGCTAGTGCCAGCAACGACCGAAGGAGCCGATCACGTTCGCGCTCCAGGTCTCGATCGCGCTCACGTTCTCGCTCTGGCTCCAGGTGAGTGGTTAGCGGTTGGGCTTATTTACCTGCCATTTGCCTGCGTTTCAGAGCCTTAGTCATTTGCAAGTTTTTTTTAATAGCCGTAATTGTAAGTATTGTCCCCATTAAAATAGATGAACTAAAGAGCAACTCCAGTATAAGTAGAGTGAATATCATGAAACGGATAAATTTGTTGACAAGATTGATTTCTACATTATAGGAAGGATCGCATTGCGTTATTATTGGCACATCATGTAAATTTAATAAACGAGTTTCGCGTTGTCCACTATATAGCACCTTACCGTACAATAAACAAATGTTTGTTTTCTACAGGTCCCCGTAGAGGAAGCTGGCAACTTAGGACTTGGAGTATTGTTGGAAGCAGCGAGGAAGCTGTAACTGCTTGCTCAATCTCAGCAGCTGATGCAATGGGTTGAAGCAGTGGCGAAGCTTGATTTTTGCCCAAGTAATTATCGTGCACGATGTGCTGAGTATTATTTATGGCGTTTATTTTGACTCTTTTGAAATATTTTGTACGATCTCAAAGGAAATCGATATCAGTTCTGGAATAATAATAGGGTCAGTCAAGTGAGACAGTTAATTTTTCTCTAACGGCTTCGAGAGCAAGTAACCAAGGCGAGATTAGGGTGAGGTCGGCTTCATCGACAAGTACTTTTAAGTGTGCAGGAATCATTATTTTGTATTTTTTCCGTAAGGTTAATTAGTATCACGGATGCAGTGTTACGCGAGTTAATTTTATTCTTTGATCGTAGTTTTTTGCGTGTTTACCTAATTAAATCGTAGTGAGCATTCCTGGACATCTGTAGCGCGGTCCCAAACCTATTAGCGACCGTCTTTTTCTCTGCACTAAAAATGTAAATACACTGCTGAATCTGCACTATATTTTGTATGACCGAATTTTGTTTTTGCGTACAGAGCACTGCTGGCGTTGCAGTGCTGTTGGTGAGGAGCACCGCACGAGTTGCTGTTGCTTGCTGTCATTGCTGTGCTGAGGTTGATAGCTGAGGCTCAACCGCCATGACAAACTTTCTTCACTGACGCGACTGACGAAAAAACTCCTTTCCACTCTCCTCTCTTATGACTTTCAAATAGCAACGAGTTTCAGAACCTTATTGAGTTGAAATTTCTGCAATGCTTTTCTGTGCTGATGCCCTTGAATCAGGGTTTCTTTTTTTCTTGAGCCTGATTTCTGAAGGTTCGATTGTTGGGTATCATCTACTGCTTTATTCAAAAACTGCTTTTTGCTGGTGTTCTATTTACATACCGGAACAACATGAAACCACCATTACATCTAAATTCTTCAAATATTGCTGCTGATTATCTTCAGCGCAATCGTGACTACTACTGACTGATGATCGTCCAGAATCTTGACCTGCGTTATCCGTGGACGTGTAAATTTGGATGAAGATTTAGCGGAGCATGCGGGAGTATTTGCTGGCGTTTGGAGTTGGGGCAGTTTGAGGGGAGGAGCTGAGACAGCTGATCGAGTGCAGAGCAGTGCTGATGCGGCACTGCTATATCGGTACGACCATTTATTTCACGTATCAAAATTATGATAAATTTGTGAACATGACACCTTTAAATGTCATCTTTATTTCTCCTTTTCTAAAAATTGACACGTTGAACTTGTCGTCTCTCATGTGAACTTACTGGTATCAGGTTGAGATAAGACTAAATAAATTATTTAAAATATCAACCTCATTCCTCATTTACAATCATTTCAAATGGTTCTAACTAAATTTGTAATTTGCTTCCATGTTGGAGAGGAGAGGAGGTGTAGCAGAGGTGATGTTGGTGAATTGCTGCGCTTGCTGAGGATGCTGACGCACTTACGTAAGTGACACTTGTTACGTACTCGTACCGCGAGTTACTTACGCCGAATGTTGCGCATTAAAAAATCAGAATGTGACAACCATCAGTCAATGGTCATTTTCTATGTCCGGGAAAGAGTTGATCAGTTCATGCGATAAATACGTGAGTAAATTATGAAAGGATTTATCGCACTTCTTTTGAAGCGACTAGGTTTGGGTTCATTTTTGGTCGCATGTTCAATCTAAACTTGAAATAACCTATTCCTCCACAGGTAATATTCATTGAATAAAAATCGTTGCTTGCAAAAAATGTTTTACTATACCTACTTCATAAGAGTTAGCTTAATAAGACAAAGTACAATGTGACATGTTTTAATTCATACAACAAACTTATGTACGACTTGCAGTGCGAAAGTCAAGATTACAGTGTAAATTCTAATGGCTGATGTTCGAGGTATTTTTGTTCCACGCTTTCAATTAAACGTAAATCTGATTATTTAGATTCCCCTTATCCACACTTGCATTAAAATCAAAGATCAAGTTAACCGAACGTTAGGTTCACACACGGTGTTGAAATGAAAAGCTTGAAAGGGAGCATGGATGACACGCCTCATGTCACAGTTAGCAACAAATTATTCCCAAGCAATTCGCGTTATCGGGGTCCAATTATAAATACGTATACAGTACTAGTCGCATAGTGCAGTTGTGCTATCGTGGAAACTAACAAAGGAATAACTGCTGAAGTTTGCATGTGCATCTTTTATTTTGAGAAAACCCAACTTGTAGCCGTTTTCGATAATGTATAATTATTAGCACCATTATTTCAGAATTCTGGTTGTTGAACTTTCCTGCAATATCCTAAATTATGACTATTAAATCTCGACAAGAACAGTTTTCCTTCCCCACATTTTTCATTCAGACTGCAGAAAGTTTCGCTCTTTCCTCACTGGACAATTCCGGGTGCCATAAATCTACTATTAGCACCAGCCTCGCTTCTGTGCCATTGTGCCAGACTTCATGTTCGAAGCTGTCATCAAAGACGATTACTTCACCTTCACGCCATGTTAAGTACTGGTCTTCAACTCTGATCACAGGAACAGGTTCGGTTTTAGGAACAACAAGCCCCAGGTGTGCGCGAAGCCTACAGTTAGTTGGCCCGCAGTGCGCCCACACGTGCGTTCCGCCTTCCATCAGACTGAACTTTATCTGCAAACATACATGGCGTTTAATAAACATGTTCATTGCTCTCTGCACGAGTATCGTGTGTGTTAACCAGGTAATAATACTACAATAACTGGGCAACGGTCATCATAAGGCCAACCATAGTGGCCCAATAATAAATCGTCCAACGCAATGAAAAAATATTCGGGAATATTAGTCGAGATTTTATTAGTGTACAGCGTAAATAACTGTCCAGTTATCTTAATTACAAACTGGCGTATACCAATATCACAGCTTACATTTAGTGGATGGCAGATTGCCGTATGCTAATGAACAATAATATCCAACATACTTGTCCTCTGCGACAACCGGCCGCGGGTTCAAAGCTGCCAACGATAGCGCAAGTCTTGGGGGTACGGGCGCAGTTTACGCGGTTCTGACGACCCCTGGAGTACAGTTCAAGTTGCCCCCATGCTCCTCTATCACGTAAATTCTCCGCCTCTGGCTGGTAACCAGAAGATTTTGGAGCAGAAATAAGAGCCAGTCCCTCGTCGCGAATATCTTTCCAATTTTCCTCCAACTTCCTAGAGAAAAAAAATCGAGAACGAGTTGCGGCGTTTTAATTTTACCGAGAACCAGTTTTCTTTACTTTATTCGAATTTTAAATACTCGTAGATTCAAAGAAATGGGTGGATGCTCTGAATTATTTATTGTAAAGTGATATACCAAAAAAACTTACCTTAGGAAATCCTTGTAAGTAGTTTCTTCAAGGGTCCAAACAGGTTTGGCAGTCAAGCGGTCGACGTTGTAGAGAGACCGTTGAGTTGGCCTCAAGAATAACCCCTTCGCAGCGGCCTCAACATAAACCTGCAACAGAACGAAATTAATTTCTAAGTATACGATTCATTCGAATTATATGTATGGGAAATGCATTTGAGATACAAGAAGCGTTTTCTGGTGTGAAGAAAATGAATTGTTTTACACTAGTTGAATTAAATTAAACAGTCAATGAAAAAATTGTAAATAACGGCCATGGACGATTCGTTATTTATATGCTGCGAAACTCTCACGTCAGTGAGGGGAAGGTAATGCAATTCTCGCCTCGTGCGCCTCCTGAGGACGCCCCAAGCGCTGCAATGCGTCGCCGAGGTGGAAGAAGAACCTCGCGTCGTCGGTGCCTGGTTCCTGGGAAGCCAAGCCTGCCTTCATGAGCCGAGCGCCTTCCGTGTTGTTGCCTCTGGTCGTCTTCAGGATAAAACCCAAGTGGACCTTTGCGGCAAAAAATGAAGCCTCATTGAGATTGAATTAGCAAATTACATTATTTCAATTACATTCCACATGAGCAGCACAAACGTGAAAAATCATAATTTGTAGTCTTGTCTTATGAGCTGTAAATAATTTTGAATTTCAGTTAGTCACAGTCGTGCAGTACAATTTGAAGTGAAAATGTTGAAAAAATATTCTACCCGTAAGTACGGGTAGAAAAAATACCCGGCTTTCTTCTATCAGCACAGTGCGATTGATGGCACAATTTCCCTTATTACTGGCAAATTTGGGAATAGCGAGTGAAAAGAAAAAATCACGATTCAAAAAAACATCAAGGATATGGAATATTATTACTAAGATAGAAAGATAGACCAATACAATAGCGACAGAGTTCTGGCGGTATCTTCAGAAAGGCGCTTCAAATGCTTCGCACGGGCGCCGCAAATCAGTGGGCACATTCGCGTTAAAAAAAAGATTTAAGGAAACCTTTGCGATGAAAAGAATATTATCGATATCTTAATTTATTTTCCATAGAGTGTTCTGGTTGACACGGTCATGAAACTTGTCGAAAACCTTTCCCTCCCCTAAAAACTTCATTTTCTGATTCAGAGCACTTTTATTGACAACGTGCAATAGTCGTGACGTCTCACGAAAAAATTTTCTTAAGCCCCCTGCTGTATTAGCTATGAAATAAGTCATGATAAAAATAATTTTGATTATCCTAAACTGCGTATGTCCGTTGAGCGGGTGGAGTTGTGAGACCGTCTAAAAGTCCCTTGCCATTATTTATATCATAATTAAACTAATTTCGATTTTCCTGACCTGTGCGAGTCCGTTGTTTGGGTGGCGTTGTAAGACCGCCTCGAAGACTCGCTGAGCAGCAGCAGGCTGCCCCTGCAACAGAAGCGTGATTCCCAGCTGGTTATGGAGGACGGCGTCGTCAGGGTATAAGCGCAGCAATCTTTTTTGGACGCTCACGCATGCTGACAGGTGGCCTGTGAATAAATACATTATTGGACCAATACCAAAAAATGATGTAAATAATAATAATTTCCAATAATATTATCTGTCCAAGTTAGTGCAAGTTTTTTAGAATTGTTAGTGACGGTTAACGGCAGCCAAGATATAAACGCAGTAACCGTTTCTGGACGCTGAAGTGTGCTGGGAGATGGCCTGTGACTCGACCAAGACAATGAACCGGTTTTTATACTTTTAAAGTAGGTAGTATTTTGCGGCAACTAAAATACAAGAATCTACAGAGCTGATTGTGATATTGTGTTCTGAAGGCTTCTAAAGTCTATGTGAAGTACTAAAGCCCGTGTCCGTACGGCAAGAGCTTCATGCTTCTCCTATGACCAATTCTAGATAAAATAAAAGCTAAGTTTAAATAGTTTTCATACACGTTTCTGTGAGAAATAATGAATCCATTAACAAAAATTATGCAAATCATCAGAACACAACCTCCAAAAATGTTTCAATATCACACTTAGTAGCATCGTGAATCAATACAAGTGAGGGACTAGGCACATCCCGCCGCTCACCTCTGAAGCGGAGTTTGTCGACAAGCGTGTTGGCCGCGGCGCGCAGGAGACGCTCAGAGACGAGCTCAGGATGATCTTCGGCGATCTCAAGCACGCTGCGGTACGACGCTATCGCCTGTTCTAGCCTGTTCAAATGAACGTGAGTTGCCGTACAATCCAGAGTCAAATATATTTATTCATAGGTAAGTTCAAGTCTTAATTATTAAATAACGAATTAACATTTAAATAACTTGTATGAGAGAGAGAAAATGCAATATGGCTTAAAATTCTCAGTGATGATGAATTGATATACCGATACGGCGATACCAAAATTTCATCGTCACGTAAAGAAAACCGCATGATCGCACTATAAATTATTAAACAATGAACCCAAAAACTTCACAAGCATAGGCTAAGAAAGAAAATACCCAAGCAAAGCATCGCAAAAGAACCAGAAAAAAACAATAGTTTGAATTAGAGAAAAGTACGCACAGCGACTGGAAATCCCAAGGATGAAAAACATCTTATAATCTCTTGACAAGAGCGAGATAAATATAAAAAAACTTGTAAGGAATATTAAATAATGAAGCGCTTTTCATTTAACTTGATAATTGAAGCATACCAAATAAATAATTTAGCCTACAAAGCGAAATTAAGCAGCCTAAATAGGCTTGTCCGAACTATATTCTGAAAAAAAAATTACAAAACAAGTCCTGTGACACTTATGCCAATATTATTAAAGTTCTTCAACAAGTTCTAATGTACTGATTTACTTCGACGCAACTTAAACGTAGATGTCCATCAATCATCTGATATTTATGCCCATCTTATTGATTCAACAAGTAACAATGTTTTGAATTGCTTTTTCGCAACTTAAACGTAGATATCCATTAATCACTTGACATTTGTGCCCATCTTATTGCTTCAATAGGTTCAATTGTATATCATTGGTTTTTCGCAACTTAAACGTATATGTCCATTAATCACTTGACGTTTATGCCCATCGAATAGCTTCAATAAGTTCTAATGTTTAGAATTGCTTCTTGCCAACTTAAACGTAGATGTCCATTAATCACTTGACATTTATGCCCATCTTATAGCTTCAATAAATTTTAATGTATTGCATTGCTTCTTGGCAACTTAAACGTAGTTGTCCTGCAATCACCTGTCGTTTGATCGCTCGGCGAGAGCGATCGCGTCGAGGCATTGAGCGCGACCGAGAGCAGCTCGCGCAGAAAGCGGTTGTTCGCGCACCACTGCAGTGAATTCACGCAACGCAGAGTACGGGTCCTAAGATTATTTAATTCGTTACGACGAGCTAATTATTCTTATAGATTCAACAAGGTAAAATGTTAGAAAATCTATATGTGAGTAAAACAATATCTTTCTTGACAGTTTGAATTTTAGTGGTGCCATTACTTTTTACGAATTTCGTTGCGTTATTGCACGAACCAGAAATATGAAAAAATACCAAAAAAAATCCGAACACTAAAAAACATAAGTAAATCACATTTAAGCTAGTATTACTGATCGTTCATGAATTCCAAGCAGTATTTTTTAATTCGCTAAAGAAAAAACCAAAATCGTAAAAATTTGCTATACATAGAAAAATATAAAAATATATATAAAAAAATATACAATTTGGTCAAGCATACGAGTCGATTTTTTCCATGTCAGAACAGAATTAAGAAAGGAAAAATCTTTCATACAGCCATTAGATAAAATGCAAGTAAATTACTCTAAGAAATCGTTTAATACGAATGAAAAATACCGTCAGGAAACTATGAGCAATTATTCAAACATCTCAATATAATTAGAATATTAATACCACAAAAAATCTACTTGCCAGCCAAGACCAAATCAATGCTGATCAATATTTCTTTCTACAAGAGATACCAATTTCTATGGGGAAACACATGAAAGTCATGGGCTCACCTCCTTTGGGTGTAGATTTCCAACAGTCGAGAGACCAAGAAGGGATAGATAGAAGCCTGAAGTTACCATGCACATTGCAGTGCAAGTGCACAACACAACAAGCGGTTAATACATAAACACCAGGATTCGAATGGATTCGCATACGTCAAATATTTATTGATTGCACAGATGCATACAGAAGATTAAACATAACGATATAAAATATCAAACGACTAGATATTTGAGTAAAGTTTTAACTTTGAATCACGTCGCCAAAGAAATCCTTACAATTTTAACTTACAGATGCACCTAATTTTATAAGTAAATCACACACCTAACATTAATTAAAAGTTATAAGGCAAAAGGAGTGACGTAGAAGCGCCAACATGTGAGGATAACTAAATTTTTTGTCGCAAATTATTGCTTTGGATGATTTACACTAAGAATAAGTTATCATTTAGACGATCGGGTGGCGATAGTCAATGAACTGACCTCGCTGGCTATCGTTGACGTTTGCCAAAAACCTTCAACAATAACTATCAATCATTTATGTATATTATAAGGCACTTTTTATCACAAATAAATACTACTGCGATGACGGACCCGGTTAATTATAATGCACAGTGACTACAAATTACTAGCAACTCAACCATGGATAACATGAATAATATCCCAGTTTAATAAATTCCTGTTAAAATAATGTTGGTATACTGAAGTAAGGGTCAAACACAAGCATTGGAAGATGAAGCAGGTAAATAAAAACTTTCAGTTTCAAAATTAGGAAAAGGCTGATGAAATACGCACTCAGTTATAGTAAATAGCCCAATGCACTGAAATCCTATTAGGCATTAGAACTTATTATATCATTTGACTTCTATAGCACATATCAACACGTGCATTACGTGAGCATCACGGCTTCCTTCGCTAAATCAACAAACAAATTTATGAAAAAATTAAGCACAAACTGCGGATAAAAACAAAAAAAAACTAACTGATGAAGAAAATTAAAAGGATAGAAGAGAAAATCAAAATGAATCTCCCGCGAATCAAAATATTCTGCAAAAAATAGAATCAAGAACTAATTAAGACACACGCATAGTGATGACTAATTAATAAAGTAGGAACGAATGTTAAATTAGGAGGATCGAGAAATAAGGTAGAAATCAGAATTAAAAAGGAAACAATAGTAAGATATTATTCTAAGATAGGGGTTGAAAAAGCAAGCATCAGCAAGGAAAAAACACAAGTCTAGTCGATAGGACGGAAGGAAGACGATTTTGTAGGCTGTCAGAAGATTCCTTGACCGTCCTGTGCAGCGTAGCAGGAGAAAACATACACGAGATAAAAGCAAAGAAAACATGATGAGATGAGCAAGAACACGATCGTTGAGATCAAAGATGTCTTCTTGGCACAAATGTCTTCCTTGCTCTACTTTAATAGTGCAATTTTTATGCTCAAGGTGAACTTCATATAAATTGCTCCACTCAGATTTCAGAGCAATAAGACCATAAAAAGGGCCGTGAAAATATGCATTGTGCGGTGAAAAGAGCTTGAAAATACCTAGAATGCTAGAGAATGTGAAGAATATGGCATGTCGCGCTAAAAGCTGTACAGTATAACGATAACAAGATAACAATTCAGTAGATGAGTATTCTGTGGAAATATGAGATCAACAATAGTTATATCACAATATTTAATCATCCTAGATTGTTTTTACTGGAACATTTGTATTCTAAATATGGTTAGATTAAACAGATGCCTAAAATCCGTCCAAAAATAAATTAACATATAGTAGCCAAATAAATAGGCATATACGTACACGTAATAAAATGGCATAAAAACACGGCTTACTCACAAAGATAATACTATTCTTACTTGATCATCATTGCAAAAAATTTTATTAGCGTCCACATCAAGAGCAAATATTCTACCCTGTTACAACCCGTAATAGATGCAATATTCCAATTTATCGAATAATTCCCTTACAAATTCAAAATTTTGGATCACATCTCAACTTCAATGCGACTTTATTAACGATATTAAAAGCATTCTACTTCCCAGTAATTAGCAATTCTCAGTAATTTGTTCATACAGCATTAACATTTGAAGCAACTCACGTTCAGTCGTAGTTGCTCCGCCTCGTGTAGTTTCTCGAGTTGGTCTTCCGAGTCGACCGAGCTGACAAGATCTTCTTCAGTCAAGTCCTCAAGGCCGATGTCGCTGCGACTTGCCTGTAACTCTCTTGGAGCGCTTTCTGTTGCGACAGTAGAAGAAGGAGAGGAAGAACTCGCAGGCTTAGGAGATGGAGAATGAGACGTGCTAGGAACAGAGCCTGGGGATCTTTTGGCAGAGTGGAGCACTGCCGGTTGGTCGGCTGGCTCAGTGGCAGCAGGCTTTGATTCAACAGCTGGAGTCTTGGATTCAACAGCCGGAGTCTTAGTTTCAACAGCCGGAGTCTTAGTTTCAACAGCCGGAGTTTTAGTTTCAACAGCCGGAGTTTTAGTTTCAACAGCCGGAGTCTTAGATTCTACAGCCGGAGTCTTGGATTCAACAGTTGCAGTCTCAGATTTAGCTTCAGCAGCTCGAGACTCAAATTCAGCACCAGCAGCTGGAGTCTCAGATTCAACAAATCGAGTCACGGATTTAGCAGCAGCTGGAGTCTCAGATTCAACAGCAGCCTGAGTCTCAGATTCAACAGCAGCTGGAGTCTCAGATTCAACAAATCGAGTCACGGATTTAGCAGCAGCTGGAGTCTCAGATTCAACAGCAGCCTGAGTCTCTGAGTCTCAGATTCAACAGCAGCTGGAGTCTCAGATTCAACAGCAGCTGGAGTCTCAGATTCAACAGCAGCCTGAGTCTCAGATTCAACAGCTAAAGTCTCAGATTCGGCAGCTGGAGCCTCATATTTACCGTTTGAGGTCTTAGATTCTTTAGAAATAAGAGCATCCGTCTCAATAGCAAGTTCTGATGGTTTAGCCAAATGAGCTGAAGCTTTAGTTGAAGATTCAAATGGCTCGTTAGCTTTAGCTTTAACAGGTGGGGAACCGTCATCGTTTATGGGAGCTTTCTCTTCTTGAAGTGGGATAGAGCCAACATTTCCGGTTTCATCAGCAGTTGGAACCTCTTCCATTAATCCGACATTTCCATTCACCTCTTCACCGTTATCCTAAAAATATTCCAAACAAATTAATCAAAAAAGTTTTTGCATGATGCACAAGACAAAAGTAAGAATACAAACAGACCCTTCAAAGCCACAATACTATATATAATAGTATACATCGTCAGTAGTACTCTCAATGGATAAGGATTTTGTTGCCTTAATCGAATATGTTCCTTTTTAACAGAAGTTCAAGGTTTAGAGTGCGAGGTTCATTCCTTAAAGCATATTCCTGAAAAGTGAGATGGCTGGTAATCAAAATCAACTGAATAATTGACATAATTTCACGAGAATTTAAGAATATCAATGTAGTTGAAGAGATATTACAAACTAAAAACAATGTATTATCATGCACCTGGGCATGAGAATATTTATTACAATAAGAAAGTTAACAAAATAAAAACGTGAACAGTATGACTCACCTTGGCATCTAACAGACGAACATACAAATCCTCAAGTATAATCAAGGCATGCTTGGTAGTTCCCTCCAAGCCTTTAAGTTTCAAGCTTTTGAGATCTTCTCTAGCACCGTCAATGTGCGGCCTGAGCTCCGTTAGCATGGGATGTTCAGGACTCAGTTCAGCTATTGCCGACATGAGCATCTCGCAGCGCTCTATCGTATTGTGGTGGGCCAGAAGCTCTTCTGCAGATGGAGGAGCCTTCCTGGATTTTCTCTTTTTCTCTGCTTTTGATTCTTCTTCAATACCTGAATGCTTTGGCTCTTCGTTCTTAACATCAGAAGGCGCACTTGATGGACGTACTGAATGAATATTATCCTTGGGATTTGAAGGCAAATCTACAAAAGATGCCGTCTTGTTTGGTTTGGCAATATTGTCTTCTTGAGTCTTCCTCTCTCCAGCAAGTGCATTAGATTCCACAAACTCATCTTTCTCTCCTAATACATGAGCAGTCTTCTTAACTATAGGTTCTTCTTGAACAGGGGTCATTCCAACACCGCTTGGCTTATCTTTTGGTAAATCCACAACCACTTCCTGAGGATGGAGTTTAGCAGCAGAAAGTTTCTTTGCCTGTTCTTCATGTAATATTTGAGATTCAAGGGTCTTAATGTGAACATCTTGAGCGGTGTCATGTACATTGTGAACAGGAGCCATTACTTTAGGTACATTTTCCTTAAAATCTTGACTATCTTTGACTAGAATTGGATAATCTGGAAGACAAAACAAATCATAAAATTAGATAAAAGAATATTGATGCAATAAAGTTTTTCAATGCCAATCCAAGGGCAAAAAAATTATTATATTTTCATAACTAAAATTTTAAAGGCCATCAGTACAAAAACATCAGCAATACAGAAATAATCCATACATTAGATCAATTTCCATAGAATGACTAAAACCAGAAAATAAAATGGTAAATTAATGTAAAAACCTTCTGATCTTTGTTTGTATTACCGTACTTTGACATTTTATTCAACATTTAACATTTTAAAAGTGCTTTTCAATATACTTATTATATGTTTTTGATTGTGATTGCATTCTTTAATTTTGAAACTAAAGCTGGTCTCCAGAATGCATTCAATTAAATTATGGTTATTTTCTATGATCTTTATTCAATACTAATTAATAATTGAATGATTCATAAACCAGTCCAAAAAGATTTCCATATACAATATTAACTACAAATTTGGTTACCTCTAGACTTGAATATTTCCCAATCCAAAGACATTTGTTAAACAAATTTTATAATACAATCCAAAAATAACTCATAATTCAAACACAAAACACATTGTGGCCATGCCTCTTCCGGCCAATCATCAGTCTTGCTACCACTTCTTCAGTATTGCTGCTGATTTGCATTGTACATATTTTTTGCATTTTACTTTGAAATTTACTTTGAATAGACCTCATTAGCAAGTGCTCCCAAAATTAAATTTTCACAAGAGGAAGTTAACTTTCCTTCAAATTCCAAAACACAGAATTGGACAATTCCTTCTTTAATTCATGCAACTTGAGTTAGAAAATAATCGAGATAGAAAGTGAGGCAATCGATCCTTGCTCAGTACCTATATAAAAAAATTGGCCACAAAGGAATGAAGAGATTCTCAAGCAATGCAAGTTTCACTTGGTAGGATTTCAAAACAATTGAAGAAATACGTCATGAAGAAACCTAATTAAACACGTGTAATTTCTAAACATCTTAAATGAACTCACCTTCTGGATGAAGTTGCATGAATATCAAGCCAGCTAGAACAACCAGCAGAGTTACAAGAAAGATGGTCAGCATTTTAGCACAAAAGCCTGAACTGGGAACTTCAGTTTCCTTGTTAGGACTCTGCCGATGTTTTTTCTTGCTGCCATTCCCAGTTGGTTTTTCCGACAAGTCTTTGTGTTGTGCAGGAGCTGGTGTATCATGAAATTCCAGGGATGACTTGACAGAGAATGCCACATCATCAGATTTAGTTCCTTTACTGAATTGCTCTGCAACATCAGTCTCTGAAAGAAGTTAAACAAAAAATGTATAAGCAATTAATTCTTTAAAGAACTTGGATTTGGGGGCATATATATACAGTAATTTTTTCAAAAATTATAATTTATTCTTTTTCTTCTAATGCTTACAAAACAAGGAAGCATACTTCAGTATTCAAAAATATCTCAAGTTACATTAGAAAAACAATGATTTTTCAGAAAGAAATGACCATTGTTAATGCCAATAATGTCACCACACTGACCACAGCACTCAAGTGTCTGGTCTTCAATAGAAATTATTTATTTTATACAAAAAACAATATTGCAATAAAAAACGGAATATTGCACATAATAGTGCAATCAAAACAGCTTAGAAGTCATTATGAGGTTATCTAACCCTGCAAATTGTAGTTCTAGCCAGCTTTATGCAGCTTTTGGAGATGAGTGGCAAGGTACATGCAGTTTCTGCCGAGTGGCAACTTATGTGTCATTATCAGTAGGTATTCATTGAACATCACAAGTTCAAAAGAAATAGGTGGTAAATATGAAAATTTCCTACAACTTCATTATCATTTAAATAACACTTAAAATTCAAATAAAATTTTTGGTCATGAGTTTTGAACAAACAAAAAAAAAAGATTGCAATGTTTAGACATTTTCAAATAAATTCCCTTCCTTAGTATAGAATTCCTCCAAACTCATTCAAAATTTTCTAGAAGGTTTTCAGCCTGTCAAGAGGAGTGGTTTAGCATTCAAAACACTCTAAAATATTGGCAGAATTTACATAAAATTGCAGGTGAAAATAGGCTGTTTTATTTTTCATATTTACTATTGAAGAAATTTGGGGAGAGCTTTAGGAATGGGTAAAATTTTCCAATTTATGTACATTATTTTCAAATTCATAGGTGGCTTCTGCCCAATTTTCCAGTTTTACATTTAAATGCTCCATAAGTAGATCAAATCAGAATGTGACCTAAAATTTAAAAATTTGTACCTGGAATTTTGATCAGATTTATGTAGTAAAGTTTAACCAATATTCTGCAATATCCACTCAAAATAGCCTATGAAATTCATTTTTAGGTGCTAGTTTGACCAAGGTTGCACCACATTATAATTAAACCCATTTTACAAGTCAATCTGTATCGGGAGAAAATTTAGTGCATGTTGGGCACTAAACTTTATTGGGCACTGGGAAGTTTGGTCTCATTCCAATTGCTGAATTGGTAATATCAATCCAAAGTTTCCTAAAATTACAGGCAGAAACAATTGTTGAAAATTGCAGGTAGAAATAGTCCATTTTTCTTTTTTTTTATTAATAAATTAGGATCAGACAATGGGAACTTAGGAAGGGGTAAAACTGGCCAAATTCACAGGCATTTTTATCTGATTTGTGTGTCTCTTCTACTCAGTTTTCCAATTATAGTCTCATAATAGTGGCAAACCAGAGATTTTTTAAAATCAGTTAATTTTTAATTTCCTTCTCTAATTTTAATTTAAACCAATGTCATATCAGGTATGATAATGCTATGTGGGTATCCATGATACTTTGCTCTACTGGACTGCTCATAGAACTCAAAAATGTACTAAAGGAAGTCCAAAAAAAAGTCTCTGCTTTGCCACTATGATTGTTACTGTCCCATTCGTGGGTGGTACTCATGGTAGTGCCTTTTGGTCTGCCTAACTTTCTAGTTTGGCTGTGTGATCTGTGCCTATGCCAAAGGCACATTGATCATTGTTCTATATTCTATCAATAAATATTTTTTACAACATAGGCAAATAGCAAGGTCAAAAATTAGGCATAAGCCACCCATAAATCAGACAAAAACACCTTTGAGTTAAGCCTATTTCTCCCATTCCACTGGTCTTTTCCTAATTTCTTCAGTAAAAAAGTAAGAAGACCAACCTATTGCTATTCTTAGCTGTGATGCAATTTTTAAAAATACCTATATCTATGATGGAATCTTTTTTGCCAGGAAGGACAGGAAATGTCTGCACTCTGCAATTCTGCCTGCCTGCTATTCCAATTTTCAAATAGCCTGTTTAATAGTGACCATGACCAGTAGGTTCTGCCTAATGCCCTAGGGGCCCTAGGCTATGGAGTATGGAGATAGCAGACTAAGCAGAGAGTATTTTAGACTCTCCTTCAAGTTCAATTTTAAGTCCTGCAGGCTACAAGTAGTCTAGTAGAGTCTAGACCCGCAAAGCATCATGGATAGGTACCACTCATACCACTATGATACTAGTATGCAGCATCATCATGCATTATATTTTGGTTTAAATCTTGAGTAAATGAGAAATTAAAAATGAACTGATTCTAAAAAATCACAGGTTTACTACTATGACTTAGGCCTCACCACATCAGCCCCAGTGTATGGCAGTGATCCTACTAAATTTGTTCAATATAATTAAGCAAATCATCACATTTACTAGATTAGCACTTGCTGGTATATAACCGAAACAATCTAAAGTCATTGTAAATTAGACTTTAATTTACACCATTCTCCAAGAAGTCCAAGTCTTACCTTTCTTTTTGTTTTTGCCTCGTCTTTTTCTAACAGTAATATCACCAGACATGGTGCACAAATGAAATAAAAAGACAATTAAATGGAATTTTGTGACAAATTATAAAGGATTTGAACAATTATGCTATTTCTGCTCAATAAGAAAACTATTCATCATCAAGAAAGCACCAATCACCAAACGACAGAATAACAACAACGTAATGACACACTCCATAGAATATGATAGAAGCATCAAAATGTTAAATTCAAAGGCTCAAACTCAAAGCACCTATCACTAGAAGTTCTACAACAATATAAGCCTACAGGGTGCGTACCGATATTGAGAAAAAAAATTCCAGGACTTTTCCAGGACTCTCCATGATCATCAATATAATTTTCCAGGACTTGCATACATCAGGTTTAGCATGACTGAAAGAGTAACCGTGCATATTCTATCATCTCCTAAAGTTGATAACTAGCAAACGTGTAAATGCATAGAGCGGGCAGACACAGAGGATCAAAAATGACAAAAAACTATAAATCAAGCCCACACTTTTATTATTATGAATTCAATAGTGTCAAATCACAACAAATATTGAGTAATGCACACAATATTACACATGATAATGTCAATACAGTTCAGAACACGATTCAATACCACTACCCTAACATTCAACTGGCAGCTATTTCATCAACTTTTTCTTTAATGTTCAGTTCAAGAGTGTCTAGCTCCTGTTGCTTTGTTTTCAAAGATCGCCTCATGGCGTTGAACTTTGCAATGATTTTCAAATCCCCCTTTCTTTCCATTGCTTCTGCATATTCATATGCTGCTTGCTCAAGCCTCAAGCGCCTTGATGCCCTCCTCCGTACGCCTTTTCTTCTTCTTCTTCAGTTCATCTAGCTCATCCAGCAGAGCCTTCCTCTTCTGGGTTTTCTGGGCCTTTGCATTCTGCTCTTTCTCTTCTGCCAAATAATTATTGTAGGCGGTTTTGGCACTGCCAGCTGCAAGCAGCATCTTCTTGGTGATGGTCAACTTGTCCAGGCCACCAACATGTGCAACATGATCAACCACAGCATGCACGGCAACCAACTTTTGTTCTTTCATGTTCTGCGTCAGGATTTCCTTGTTCAACGAAAACCCTCTTTCAACCATGGCTTGGCCATGAGACAGGAGCATGAGCATTTGCACTACATTCCAGAGCTTCTTGTAGGTGCTCTTTGACAGGATGACATTCCAAAAAGTGTCCAGTCGATCAGAAGTTGAAAATGCTTGAAACTGTGCATTCAATTCACTGCAATGCTGTGATTCGTCTCTAAAGTTGCACATCTCATCCACAACACCATCCACATCTGTGTTTGCGAATCTCTTGGCATCAACAAGCAAATTGAGACAGTTCTTCAACTGTGTCTTGTTGGCTTCCTTACAGTCCTTCTTCCCTCTCCGCTACTCGAGCTTCGTGCTCCGCTAATGCGTTTCATTTCATGCAGTTCTTTCAATGGCGGCAAACAAAGTCACAGACAATGAGATAAAAAAACTATAGGAACAAAGAAACTGAGAGCAACTAGCTATGAGGATGCAGGAGGTGCACCAGTGCTGAAGCTGCACATGCACCAGCGATAAATATTTACATGTTCTCAGGCACATGCACACGTGAATGGCTTACAGTCTCCTCCCCATGAGTAACTAATTTTATACACACAAGTTCGAGCGGTCGGAGTTGTACACGGAGATGGCTCTGCTTGAGGCCAGAAATTTGGTCCTTTCATTCTCATAATTTTCAAAAATGGATTCCAGTTCACAATTGTGCGTTTGAAGACTGCATTTGATAGGAAACAATCTATATTAATGCCTGGTAAAATAATCGCAGCGTATGTAAAATAGAAGACACCTAAATAATACTTAACAAAATTAAGGGCAGATATCATTTGCACCCGAGGTTGTAGCGTGACACGACAACCCGTGGCGATTAGGGTTAACACACGCAGCACAGAAAAATACTTCCTTTTTTATTTATTTGCAAATTCCAGTATTTTCCATAATCTGAAATGAAATTCCAGTACTTTCCAGGCCTGGAAAATGAAAAATAAAATTTCAGGACTTTCCAGATTTTCCAGGATCGGTACGCACCCTGAGCCTAGAAGGCAGGAAAACAATGATTTTTCGACATATTATAACTTTATATTCTTGTTCAAAAATTGTCCATTTTGCATTGGATTTGGATTTGGAGCGTGGTGACTCTGAGAAAAAAAAAAATTCTGGGTCAGGCCTAGGCAATGGCCAGCAGCCACGCATCACATTTTCATTTGTTAGTAAGAAGGAGAATGAGAGACCAAGCCAGGTGGAAGCAACATTAAAGAGAAGAGGCTAGAAAGGTGTGAAAGTTTGTGTTAAGGGTGAGATGAAATCAAGGGGAAGAGAAATTCAAGGGGAAAGTCATTGGTTTATTATTGCTATTTGTTAATTATTGCACTGTTTATTTGATAATTATATTAGCTATGGGGCCTCTTAGGCCCTGTCGCCCTGAGTAACTATTTGCATTATATTATATTATTATGGTTTGGTTATTCCAATTTTATTATTAATTTTTTTTCTTTTTAAGTTTTTACACCCTCCCAACCTCCACTCTAGCCAACTTCTCCCTCACCCTCCAAGGCCCACTATGCAGAGGGTGGATGCAGCGTCGCCAATATATGGATTTTTAAGCCCAAAGCGTCGCCGGCCATTTTAAAGATGCGTCGCCGGGTAATTTTTAATGAAAAGCCATTTACGCTCAGTAATGACAAACTATTTACAAGCCACGAACCTATTACAAGGTTGCATGCACGTGTTACCCCAAATAAATAATTTTACCCTAAAAACAGTCCGATTGTACAGCAGGTGTCAACTGAACAAGTAATAAAGCAGTCTGACCGCTCTAATGTGACCAAAACTACGCAATCGAAAAAACGTTGTTTACATTTTTTGCGGGAACTCATTGCAACTGATTTCCGGACAAGCTTCGCTGCATCGTAATCCATCCAACGTACCGGAAACCTTACTTTTTTTCAAAATAGTTGGCTGAAGACTGAGAAATATATTAAATGCAAGAATTTCAATCTAAATGTGTCGGCAAGATCTTCTGAAGGCGAAAATTTTGCTGATAATACGTCGCCGTAGGTCTTTAAATCTTCGTTCACTCTCTGCAGTGGTCCAAGGCCTCCATGCATTCTCCAAAAATTGCTTTCCACTCTCAATCATAGCAGCAGTCACCCCTGTTGACAATCCCACAATCATTGCAATTCATTCATCTCCTGTTTGCTTATACATCACACCATCACCCTCGTTCCTCTCATTCAGTACCGTAAACTGGGGTAACTTTGACCACTTTTTTTTCAAAATGATGCCATTTTTTTACTAGATAAGTTAAACTTAAATTGAAACATGCAAAATACAGGTCTATACTCTAGCTTTACTCACCATAAATTGCTGGCTCCTGCCTCTCATAGTTTTGATGTAATTTAAAAAAAAGTGATGGTCTTTGTTACCCCAGCTCTTGGGGTTTCTTTGACCAGGTGGTAAAATCAATTTTATTTTTTGGTAAAATAACTCCAAATAACTCCATGCATTGTAGTAGAACTCTTCTAGTTACATATGCAAAAGAAAAATTTTAGGAAAGTGCCATAGTTTGCAAATGGGGGGCGCCGCCCCCAAATGGGCAAAATGTGACCATCTAATGGCAGCCGTGATGGGGTAACATTGACTGGTTTGGAAATTAAGTTAAAATTACCATATATAAGACTCTGTAGAGTCTGAAACATGAAGAAAAAAATATTAATAGGTGTTTCAAACATAAAATATGTTATATAGGTACCTATGGTAATTTTAACTTAATTTCCAAGCCGGTCAATGTTACCCCATCACAGCTGCCATTAGGTGGTCAAAGTTACCCCATTGGGGGGCAGCGCCTCCCATTTGCAAACTATGACACTTTCTAAAATTTGTCTTTTGCATATGTAACTAGAAGAGTTCTACTACAATGCATCAAAACCTGGAGCTATTTACCAAAAAATAAAAAAATTGGAGGGGGTACTCCGACAGGCTTTAAATAATAGCTCTTTTTTGTGGGTCACATTTTTAATTTTTTAACCTATTAGATATGCAAACTTTTTAAATCTTTCTATTGTGTTACATAGCCTCAGTATTAGGCCTTTGATGGCCATTGACAAAATTTTTTTTGTCGAATCGTTTTTGAGTTTTGGAGGTTTCTGTTAAAAAAACGAAAAGTGGTCAAAGACTCAAAGTTACCCCGCCGGTCAAAGTTACCCCATTTTACGGTATCACTCATCATTTCCAGTCTCTCCTGCTCATATGCATCACACTCCATCATCAAATGTTCCACAGTTTCCCCTCTCCACAGTCCACAGTCCATGCAGGGTAGACTTAAAGGTTAAAGCCACAGGACAACTGCAAGGATGACCATTGGGCCTGAGAGCTTGTGTAGTTTTGGACCTCTTGGCATGGAGATGGAGGTCAGTCTGGTCAGAGTCAGACCTCTTTATTTAAAAAAAAAGTACACAGTCAAAAATTGAAAAAGTACACATGACATGACAATAATGACATTATTGACATACCTAAGAAAATGTCAGAAAACAAGGGCCGTTTCTCATCAGAACTCAGCACACTAGCACAGCTTTTGACCACATAATTGGGTGGACTACGTACATAGTAAAACTGTAAAAGTATGATAACTTAGATCATTATTGTGATCATACAAACATAAACATATGCATACACATACATAGGTACATACATGATACCGGTACATACATTACCTATACATATAAGCTGCATTTCTTATTTGGCATGCCTATCTTATCTAAAGTTCATTCAGCCTACCTGACTTCAAAATGTATACAGTCAAAAGTTGAAAGATTTTTCTTTGCACATCATCATCATTATTACCTCCCCCCAAAAGTTCACACAAAGAAAATTGTACATTTAAACATCTTAAATTAGTTTTCAGCTCTTGTCTGGGCTGCGCATGACGCTGGCAATGCAGCAGTTAGTCTTCTTCTTTTCAAGGTGTCCACGTTGGGTGGACTGAAAGCCACAAGGCAGCAAGCAGTTAGTGCTCAATAGCATCCACAGTGTTGCACGTAGCACATTGATCAGCAGACTCGCTCATGTTAAATCTGTGCAAGTGACTTCTGACGCCAGCGTACCGGTCCGACACTTCAGTGAACTCGCGTGCGAACTGGCCTGCGAACTCGAATGCAAAACCTAACTTCATTTTCAACTCTGGCACTCATAAATCCTTCAATAATGAACGGATTTTATTCAAATTTGAAATATAAGTAGATAATATCAGTAATTTGCGGACGGAATTTTTTCTGATTTTTACATCAATAACTTTTTTGTTAATACGGAAAATCTAACTTCATTTTCAACTCTGGCACTCATAAATTCGTCAATAATGAACGGATTTCATTCAAATTTGAAATATAAGTAGATAAAATTAGTAATTTGTGGACGGATTTATTTCAGATTTTTACGTCAATTACTTTTTGTTAATGCCACAAAATACTGAAACTTGACCTGACTAGGACCTAACCGGCGAGGTGAACGTGAAGTTAGGTTTTCCGTGATAATAGAAAAGTAATGAATGTAAAAATTTGAAAAAATTCCGTTCACAAATTACTGATATTATCTACTTATATTTCAAATTTGAATAAAATCCGTTCATTATTGAAGGATTTATGAGTGCCAGAGTTGAAATTAAGTTAGGTTTTCCGTATTAATAAAAAAGTTATCGATGTAAAAATTTGAAAAAATTCCGTCCGTAAATTACTGATATTATCTACTTATATTTCAAATTTGAGTAAAATCCGTTCATTATTGACGGATTTATGAGTGCCAGAGTTGAAAATGAAGTTAGGTTTTCCGTATTAACAAAAAAATTATAGATGCAAAAATCAGAAAAAATTCCGTCCGCAAATTACTGATATTATCTACTTATATTTCAAATTTGAATAAAATCCGTTCATTATTGAAGGATTTATGAGTGCCAGAGTTTGTGGACGGATTTATTTCAGCTTTTTACATCAATTACTTTTTTTTAATGCCACAAAATACTGAAACTTGACCTGACTAGGACCTTACCTACGAGGTGAACTTAGGTTTTCCGTATTAATAAAAAAATAATTGATGTCAAAATCTATAATAAATCCGTCCACAAATTATTGATAATATCTACTTAATTTTCAAATTTGAATGAAATCCGATCATTATTGATGGATTTATGGCTAGAAGAGTTGAAAATGAAGTTAGGTTTCCCGTATTAATTAAAAAGTAATTGATATAAAAATCTGAAATAAATCCGTCCACAAATTATTGATAATATCTACTTAATTTTCAAATTTGAATGAAAACCGTTCATTATTGATGGATTTATGGCTGGAAGAGTTGAACGTCAAGTTAGGTTTTGCATTCGAGTGCGCAGGAGAGTTCGCTGAAGTGTTGATTCGGTTCAGTTGAGTGCATTCAGTACTCGTTAGAGCCTAGATCGCTCTCTGGGTACCTTTACGGTCGATAACCCTCTTGAGACTTAATTACGTACTAAGAGTTTTAGTATCTGACATAACCACGTCACATGGTCGCGTCTTGTCTACTTGTCTAACAATTGAATCTTGAATTTGAAGCCAAACACGTCTCTTTTAGTACTGTCACTAACTAGTTTCGTAGGGTCGGAAATGACACTGGTCTCCAAGACTTCCATTGACGAACTGTTTCGGACTAATTGACAATGGACAATTATTAAAATATATGTGTATTTTTACAAGCATCACAACATTAGGTCACGCGCTTTGTGTAGAAGTCAACTAATAGTCCTCCTATTTCACAAAACGAATGCCGCATCAATAGCGATAGCTCATAAAAAGCTTATTTGTTCAACTACGCTCATATTAGCTCTTGTCGCTGCACTCGTTGGCCGGTTATCTTGTAACTACACAATTCATGCCTACAATAATCAAAGTGTGGCAGAAATCATCAAATTTATCGCATTAGTTACATAGCAAATTTGTAAAACTCCTGCTTCTAATAAAAATTAAACAACTTTCTAAAAATGGTAGGAAAGGATTGAAAAACGAGAAGAGTTGTAAAGTTTATTTCTTCTTAAACGATGGCGCAGAGCAGCCAGTATACAGCACGAAAAGCTGTACGCTTACAGCGTGCTAGAAGAGATTATAGTTGACAGCCGCCCTAAGTATCAATAATTGACTTATTAAGCCGCGATGCATTCGGATGATGAGTAATGTCGGACGGGCAATCCGCTCAGCTTGGCAGCGCTATGTACAATTGATAGGATACTTAAGGCATTTAAATATCACACCGAAGACACAACACGAGATTTAGGAAAGCAGTGCAACGAATAGCAACTTGGATTGGTTTGCTATTACACTCAATATATGCCTCAAGCCGTCATATGTGAAGTCACAGAGCCTATCAATCATCTCTCGAATATCAAGTAAAGAAAAAAAATTTTGGAACACGTACTTCAACCAAAATAATACAGGAAAAATGGGCATTATGGTAAAAACAAAAAACCGAATGCTTAATCACAACAAAAATCAGTCAATTTTGACGGTAGACGGTTTTTAATGTGCCTTACAATAAATGTCCTGTGATAAAAATCACTGCACATCACACAATTGTACCTAAAATCCAAACATTTCTGCCAGCTATAACCAGGCCTCCTAACGATAAAGGAGTAAAATGATTCGCAAGTGTCCAGAAGACGCCGGACGCATCGATGTAGCAACAACGCATGTGTAAAATACTTGTAATGCAGTTTTGGCTGGTAAATAACACGACTAATAGCTCTGCTCGCTCATCGGTTAAGTTCTCTGATAGCAAATATCTAGGGTATTTTGATTCAAACTATCATGCAAGATAAAAAACAAATTTGCTTTCGAGAAATAGAGACACGAGGTAAGCAATGAATAAATAAGTGCAGAAAAACATTTTATAAGTCCACTTGATATACAAAACAACGAGTGGCAGATCTGAAGAAGAAAGGTCGAAATCCTAAATAGCAAAATACAAAATTAACAGGCATAAGCCATTCGTGATCGCTTCTAATTACAACCGACGCAAAATCTTGCGCCTCAAGTGTACCTTCAAAGTTAGAGACGAGCAAATCGACTGACCGACCACTTAAGCTATAAGACAAAGGAAGAAGATGAGAAGTCTTAAATTTGAAAAAAAAATCAAGCCACAAGTCTATATCCATGAACAGTGTAATAGAAAAATTGTCACCGTGCATTCGAGAAGACGCGAAGTGACGTTTCTCGCAATCGCTGCTTATCAAAGCCATCGCAACAAAAAACCAACTTTCAGCAAACGATGTACAAAAAAGAAAAGCTCCCGTGGAAAAGAATGCTGCAACTAATTAACGAATCGGAGATTATCGATGGCGATCATGGCTAGAACAAATGAATCAAGGACCTGATAGGAAAGTACAAATCAGACGTGATAATAAGAATCTAGGCACAAGTTATTTATGATTAACTGAAAATGAAACAAGAAAAATTCAAGCGTTATACTCGGATTTAATAAGTTTCCATGTTAGTGCAACGAACTTGCTGTTCGATTAAAAAACGCGACTATTGTCATGCTTAGCAATGCGTTCAACTTTCAGCCGAAACTATAATGAACGGATATAAGGAGAAGTAATAAACATTATTATAGTAGAATAGGAAACAGATTTTTTTTATCCTGAATCGGTATACATACGAAGTTTGTGGCTTCATGCAACGCGCGCTAGTCTAAAAAGGCGTGCATTTCAGACCAATGTCATGATTTTAAAGACTTTAACTTAAGTATTGCTGGTCCGCATTACGTTAGAGTTGGTTACCTGAATTGTCATTAAACGTTTGCAAGTCACCGTTACCTTGCAAGAAAATAATATTATGCAACAGGGATAGCAAAAGTCAGCTCTGCGTTTTAACAACACGATCTGCATTGAAAACAGCCAGAAGGTGCAGCCGCTCAACTAACTTCTAACTAAACTTTGGAAGGGCAGCACTAGTCCGTTAAGCAAATACATGTTCTAATGAGAGAATCTCTCCACATTTGACTTTGCCCGGGCAAAAATCCATTCTCCTTAACAAGATTAACTAGGATTAATATTATTTAACTATATGCTGAACTAAAACAGACGTGTTTGGAATCCATTTGAAGTAATAAGAATCTTTACTTTTTGGATTCAGGGGCGAGAAGTAAGAAATATAGAAATTAGAGAACGAGTTACCGTTAAAAACACACAAACAATGTCGTCCTGATAACTTATCGCCTTCGTTAAATAAATCAGGAGCAATACTCAATTTTTCAATCAACTTCTCTATGAAACATCAATAAGCAACTATCGAGCCCATTAAAATCACTTGCAAATCCGAAGTTATTGATTTAGTTTTGATTGAAAAGATGGAATGGCGCTATTCGAATTATTTTAGGATAGATGTATTGAAAGTAACTGATGAAATTCCATTACAAACTGTACATGCTAGCGCACTATGCTATGTTACAGATTCACACACACAGAGGCGGGAGTATGAGCCCGTTTAAATATGGTACATAAGTTACATTGAGATATTCTCGGTAGCTTCCTAAATTCATACTTCATGTCATTGCAATAAATAAACCTCTTGATTAGTCGCAAACTAGCTTTTCTGTACAGCAAACTAAATAAAATGGTAATTATTACATTTTCTGTCGCGATTGGTATCTCTGTCAACTGATACTCATTACATTTCATTCTATAAGTACTCAATATACTCAAGAGGAAAAGAAGCCAAGAACTGGCGCCAACATCAATGGTCGTTTTATTCATGGCATTATTTATTGATGTCATGCTCTCATGTCACCATCGCTGTGTAGTAGTAGAATATGATTGATGATGCTGGAGAGTTCTGAACATTGCATAAGTTCTTGATCTAGCGCTCATGCTATATCCCACCTACTTAATATTTTATATTTCCGCTCGGCGTTTGACGGAAAAAATACATCAATGATACACGGAAGAAGCTATTGAGTGTTTGCAAAAACGTGAAGGCTTGTCCAAAAAATGAAGCAACGAGTCATCAAGAACGAAAGGAATGCCAACCGAATAAATGTAAAACAAAGCTGCGTCAATCGAGACTAGGAACCATACCACAGTCACAGTCGCAGACTAGCGACAGCTTTTTCTTGAAGAAAGACGTCGCCTGGAAAAAAAAAATTGTCTCACTTGATCACTGAAACTTGATTCGTTAGATTCATTCAAGAAAAATACAAATAAATGAATATACAATTTAAGTGATCGAAATAGATTTTTTTCGGCAGACAGAAGTGTCAATATTCATCAGAAGTAAATGTTTCAGTAAAGTGAATATTGATTCAACTTATGTGCATCCGCGATGTAACAGTTACAACAAAAATCATATTTTTCCAAAGTTTAAAGCACTCCAGCGCTTCAAAGCATCTAGCTCCAGAGAACTATCTATAACAGGCAATAAGTTACTCAGTGATAAACTTCCTAGGGAAATATAGCTAGCAAACTTGCAACTGAATCTCGTACAGCAACAACAGAAACCAACAACGAGACGGTGGCATTAGTCGCAACGAAATGTAGTCTCTTCAGTTGTAAATTTTGATGGCCTTCTCGAGGTAGTTGTAGCGGGAGCGCTTGGGAGCTTTGTTGACATGTTCCAGCCCTAGCCAGGGCTTGCTCGGTAATTGAGCTGCACGAATACAACATATTTAAGATACAACGTTAATCAGTTCAACTCAAGTCAAGGCAAGTTAATGTAATTGTTTTTTTCTACAAGATCCTAACAGAAGATAAATTGGTAATTTAGTCAATCCTCAAGTACCACACGTTATTGGAAGCTCATTGCCTGTAAAGTAAAAAACATTAAATATCTTCTTCCTCTCACCAATCTTAAACAATCAACTTCCTCTCACCTTGATTGCTGAGAACTCTAAAGTCAACTAAGTTCAGATGATCGCCTTCAGAGAGGAAAGAGTGTCTGCCCATAATAACAATAGCGAGTCGGTACTTCTCAAACTCCTTGTCAGGAACTTCCAGCTTTTTCTGAATGCGCTCCATGACTGAAGGGACGGTTTCCCCTTGCTTCACCTGAACATGCACGGGGATCATTAAAATTAAAATAAGTGCAAAAAGGAGCTTTATGCCACGCACATCCAAAAGTAAAGTTATGACAACTATAATTGGTATTACTCATAACTGAATATGTTGAAACCTTAAGTTCCAATATCTTCAGAGATCATTCAACAAATTGTTTCAAGAAACTTATTCAGCCAACACTATAGCATAACGACGAATAAAAATGTGAATTTTTGAGGCTCGTTTTACCTTAAATTCCGATGATTTTCACATCAAGTACAAAAACATCAAGTACAAAGAACTAACATATTTGAACAAGTCAAACCATGCAAGACTCAACATCAAATGTGGCGTGAGATAAGAGAACATTTGTCGATTTGTCGAGTGCAGCAATTCCAACCACTAGGAGATTGGCGAGTGAGAAACACCAAGTGACAGCACAGAATTTTTGGCTGCTCCCTACTGTGTCGGCACACTCGTACATAATATTTTCAATGAACTGAGCCTTGCATATTAGTTCGAAACAAATGGGCGCGTCAACATGAAGCGCGAGTTGAATTATCAAGAAATAATCCCAGGAAAAATGAAAATTTAAGTCAAGTTATAATAATTAATGCTTTGACGAAAATCTAAGTAGAGTGGCTGCCGGTCAGAAAGTGTAACCAAGCAATGCTCGTCTAAAGGTAGACAAAAGTTAATTGGAGCAATAAGCTCCAATAATGAAGCGAAAATGGTAACACATCACCTTGATTAGGAAGGGAGAACCGAAGGTACTGTATGGCTCCTTGGAGAAGTGAGCAACAGGAATTTGGAGTTCGTCCTCAGCCAGAGGTAGTTCACCAGGCGGCACCTCCTCCACCCTGTACGTACGCGTGCCCGCAGACGTCAGAGCCTCCAGGCTCATGTTCTCGGGCGGCACTTGAGTAATCTTGCACGAGGAAATCTCCACTAATCTGCAACACAAAAACACGCGTGTATACTAGATTAGAAACAAAAATAGGAAACAAAACTTATGTTTTGACTGGCACCGACCACAAAAGCAAGTCTGTTAGGAATGTTCATGCCAGAAAAAAATAAATCAATTCGACACTATATCAAGAAGTAAGTAGGTATGATTGCTTATAATAACGTTACAACTAGACAAATAATACCTGAGTTTAGCAGAAGTAGGTAGTGGAGGAGTTGCAGGGTTGTTCATATTAGCCCCGGCCTCGGCGCCAGCCACGAGGGCAGGTATCTGCTTGCGCGCCTCTGCCAGGAGATCAGCGACGGTCCCGTTCTTGTTGGGGTACAACACCAACTCCTGCTCTTCCTTGCTTCGCTCGTTGATGTACACACACTAAAAATACAAAGAAATCTCAGCCACAATCTATCTATCAATCAATCAATAAGTGATATGACACATCAACACTGTATTTACTATTTATACCACATTTTTTTCATTCATGAAACAATAAACAAATAAATCGAAAAACAATTATTATCAAAATTATTGTAAACCATTATAAAAAATGAATATACTTCTATTACTTTGCTTACTGAAGCAGCTACATTACAGTGTCTCAAGGCACAAAATAAATGCCCACATAGAATTTTGAACTGACTTTGACGAGTCCAAATTCTAGCATAATATTTATGAAATAAACATATCTTACTGGATATTCAATACTCCTGCAAATAAATAATAGGGGTACCTTCATTTGCCGCTTATTCTCGAGCTCATTGATTCTGATGCTGAGTTGCTGGTAGTAAATTCTCTTGGGCTGGCGAGGCTTGACGCATGTGAGCATGTCCTTCAGGGTGCCTTCATACGTGCACCGCACGGCGTTGCCGGGGGCGTCGCGGTGGCTGATCATCACAAACACGAATATAATATAGAGCTAACGTCCTGCCGAATGTTACTTCTTGCAGGCATTATGCTGGCAGATTAAATCTACATTTAATAAATATTTTCTTTTTCATCAACAAATCAAGAATAAAGTAAGAGTTTTTAAGGCTTCAACATGGCACTGTTAATGGCTATGTTTTTTTTTTGCAAATTCATAGCAATAGCTGATTTCCATTATTTTCTTAATTACTTCCACCATAATTTCAGATTAGTATTGGGAATGAAACCCATTCTAACTTCCTTGCCCATTTGACCTCCAAAGCTCCGGGTAAGTTGGACTCTTATCATCAGACTCGTTCAAAAATATTCTTGTTAGAAAATATGAGCTAATTTAAACAATTTTATGACACTTCCACAACTTTCTCACATGTTTATTTGATGGGTCTCCGAGTCTCCGCATTTTTTAATAGATCCGAGTCTCTGAGCCACTCTGAGTGTTATATTTACAATTCCTCAGCATATTGGTTAGTCATAATCCCTATTCTTGTTTTCTTTATGTTGGTACTTACCTCTGAGCCTTGAAGAACTGTAGCAGGTAAGGGTCTGTGTCCAGTCTGAGCGCCACGGCCCGTGCCACTTGGTCATAGTTCATGCGCTGCGAGAGCTCCATCACAAAGCCTGGGTCGCTCGGCACTTGCTTGTCGCAGAAGGTCACCTGCACACAATAATTAGTGGAGACAACAATGAACGCTCCGAACAGGTTACGATTGCTTCGAAAAGGTTATGAACGATCTGACCTCAAGGGAGAAGTGTGTGTAGTTACGTTTAATTTGTTTTAATGGACTTCAAAATAGAATAATATGCGTTTAAAAATTACTTTTTCTGAACAATACAGTATCTTGGACGTTACACATGTACAATGAATTTCTAATTTTATTTTCAAATATTTAAAAAAAAGTATTTTTCCAAATTTTTCAAGATATCAAAATTTTGTGAATTTTCAAAATTATTTATTGTGTCAATTTATTCATGCATTGTCTGACTTTATGCAATTGTGCAAAATTTCAGATCAATTGGACAGGTCAAATTGTGTAATATATGGATTATAATATTTGTAGCACGAAATTAATTTTTTTTAATAAAGAGAAAATTTTTTTTTTATTTATAAAATTATTTATTCTGTCAATTGATTCATGAATTGTCTCCAACTTTACGTAAGTGTGCCAAATTTCAGATCGATTGGACAGGTAGAAGTGTGTTAAATATCAATTATAAGATTCGTAGCAGACAGGCAGACAAACAAACAAGAAGTGAAGTTAAAGAGAAGTGTTGTAAAAAACGGAACTTCAGGATAGAAAAACACGAATCTTTAATGTAATAAAGAGATTTAGAATAATCAGATAAATCTAACACATCCTTCACTTAGCTCATATTTATGTGAAAATACACCGTAAAATGATATTTTTTTGTGAATGATGACCGCAAACACTTTTGAACAGTTAAGTAGCAAAAAGAAAAGGTTATGAATTTTTTTTACCAGAAAAACGAGCAGTTTAATTTTACCTCAACTCTGTAGAAAATATCCTTGAGGTAATCTTTTGCCGACGGCAGTTCGAGAGTGGCATCAGTTAGAAGATCAAGCCTCTGGTACACTATTATGTCTCCATCCATGAGCTCTTCAAGAACTTTCTCAATGGGCCTGTTGAGGTCAGGGAGGCGGTCCACTAGGTTGGGTTTGATCTCCTCGAACAGCGCGAGCTCTGTGTTAGGTGGTAGTCCAGCCCGTTCATTCAGCATTGGCACGATGTCCACTGCACATAAAAACGTAAGACATTTGATGAAAATTGCACGTAAAGTTACAAAACAAAGTGTTACATGTTATTTGCATGATCTCATTAATTTATTAGCTTTAAATACTTGTTTACAAAATTAAACACCTGATGGAGGGACATCTATCTGAAATGCCATAAGTACCATAATTGCAGAAAAACAACAATTAGCAATTTTGAAATGCAACAAAGCTTAGCTAAATGTTTACATTACAGAAAATAAACACTGAAATGAGGACCAACCGAGACAGTGTGAGATGTGCATGTAGTGGTGGCCACTGTAGTGAAGTTTCTTGTGTCGAGGGTCGTAGTATTTGAAGAAGAGAAGGACATCAGACTCTTTATCAAAGTTAGGCAGCGAACGCAGTCCTGACTCCGGGGAAACCGTCTCAACAAACACGATCCATGGATTTACATTGTCACTTATCTGAAGAAAAAAAAATTATTCAATACGCAGCTATTACTTTACTATTGAACAGGAGGTATCTAATTTACTATACAGCAAGCTGATGACATTCAGAGAGAAAGTTCAAACTAAAAGATTCATGTGAATAACTACGGCAACTAATACGCTACGATAAACTATAATGAATTTCATTTTTAATTGAGTATCTTTGACACACCAGATAGCTGATAAATGAATATGTCATAAATTCTGTGCGTCACTCATCATCTGATAAATGAATGTCATAACTTCTGTGCGTCACTCATCATCTGATAAATGAAGACCGTAACTTCTATGCGTTACTTATCATCTGATAAATGAACGCCATAACTTCTATGCGTTACTCATCATCTGATAAATGAACGCCATAACTTCTATGCGTTACTCATCATCTGATAAATGAACACCATAACTTCTATGCGTTACTTATCATCTGATAAATGAACGCCATAACTTCTGACCTGTCCCAGCTCCTTGTGAAGACCAGCTTCGACGTCGAGGTGGGTCGTGCGGTTAGTTTGATTCGTACGTAGACTAAGAGGCCAAGGTCGGATTTGTTCTATAGGATATTTCTGGAAGAAAACGTAGGGGGTAAACAAAGAAGCACAACTGCACATTTACAGCGAAAAACTTTTTCAATTAGCTATTATTATTTGCCCATAACTAAACAATTTTCACAAGGAAAAGTTTTCTTAATAAAAAAGGTGCAGAAATTTGAATGTGAACTACAATCAGTTCTCTGCACATGTTAGTTCACATCTGCACTCTGCACATGTCATGCCTCAGTTCTCTGCACATGTTAGGCAGGAAACGCAACCTATAACGTTCTAATTGTTAAGAGGCATAACGAATTTCCTTGCACATGATTACCTCAGTAGAATGCTTACTAGTGTATCAGCGAGGAGTTCTAAGAATTCTTTCAAAGTGGAACTTTTCTTGACTTTGAAGAGGCGGTACTGAGCTTTGTCTTGGTCGTAAAGATCGTAGCCTTGGTGCCCGCAAAAAGCGTCTTCCAAGACCACCTGTACACGAAGAGGAAGAGAAGTAATGTGAATCAAGCCCAAGATATTGGTCAACCTCCTTAGAATTACAGAATCAATGATGTATAATAATAAAATTTAAGGACTTCAACCAATCATCGACATTCAGCTATTCATGGTTTTATTTAATGGAAAGAAGAAGCATTTTCTAACTATTGCAGTTCACAAAATTATCATACAGGCATGAAATTCTACACAAAGATTGCACACAAATAATCGTATCGCAATTCGTTGCTGCAATTGATAACATTCTAGCACTAAATTAGAGATTTCAGAAATATTCATCCAGGAATAAGTGTACTAACCTGAACAGTCATGAAGAGATGAGCTTCATTCCTTTCTTTGCGACGTATCATTTCAATTCTCTTTTCTTCCCCCAAGCGGTCAATAAGGTCCAAGGGAATGTCTTTCTCCGTGACCTCGTGCAGTACAGATTTAATATTCACCATGCTATCCTCTGGAACAGAAATTATTTCAATAAACAGGGATGAACGTTTGAGTAACAGTAAAAAAATAATATAACATTATACCTCTTTCAAACGACAGTTACGAGAAATTATTTTCTCACCGAAAACGATGATATAAACATTCCCTATCCCTTTTTATATCTTCATGGGATTAATGTCGATTCAAAGACGCCAATAAATATTCTATATATAATCACAAACCTGGAGCGCCGCCACTCTCTCTGATGTAGACCAACATGTAGGCGTTAGTGCAGTGCTTCACCGTGAGGCTGATGTCATCTTCATGGCCACCAAAGTTGTGATCGATGGCTTCTTGTTTACTGCACCGACTTACGACGTCGTCGTCGAATTTGCACCACTAAAATCAAACATAAATAACGTAACTTAGGAGTAAGTATATAAAAGTATTAGTTTAAGTATTCTAGAATACGATAAATCAGAGTTTAATGAGCTCAAATTTAAAGGCGATTGATTTTCAAAAATATTGAAAAAGCTTACCTATCTATACGAATCACAAATACGTTTGATCAAGACATAAGTTCAAGAGGAAGACGAAAGCTACTACTTGTGCTCGTCCAGAATCATTACCAATTACGAGGCAAACAAAAAAAAACAACTCAAACTAGCATAGATGAACAAAGTCATTTTATCTTCGAGAGTTTGTTCATCACAACCAACTTAAATGGACCACGAACCAAAATCTATATAAATGCATTGGGAGCGACCATAGTAGCCCAGCAACCGAGGATGGAAGGCTGACTACAAACCCACTCTGCCGTCCCCCTTGGGGGTTAATGATGCAAGTCTAACAATAAACGCACTCTGCCGTCCCCCTTGGGGGCTAATGATGGACGTCTAAAAATAAACCCACTCTGCCGTCCCCCTTGGGGGTTAATGATGCAAGTCTATCAATAAACCCACTCTGCCGTCCCCCTTGGGGGCTAATGATGCAAGTCTAACAATAAACCCACTCTGCCGTCCCCCTTGGGGGCTAATGATGCAAGTCTAACAATAAACCCACTCTGCCGTCCCCCTTGGGGGCTAATGATGCAAATCTAACAATAAACCCACTCTGCCGTCCCCCTTGGGGTTGATGAAGACGACGTAGTGGCCGCCATGGTTGTCCCCGGAGTGCACCAGCACGGCGTGCAGGACGTACGTGCCTCCCATGCCCTCCTCGCGCTTCCCGACGTACGAGTCTAAGTTGAGCCTTTCAGGGAATTCATACCTGGGAAAAAAACGACCTATCAGAATTTTTCAATTACCAAAATAAGCAAATTACAAAAACAAACTTTCAACATGCAAGACAAAGTATGATAAATAACTTTGGAATTGCATTTTCATAGGGTGCACACACTTTAATGCCGTTCTAAAAAGAAAAAGAATTTATTTGATTAGATTGCGCTTCAGTGCTGATTTGTAACAGAATAAATACGGAAAACTGAAGTGCTAGAGTACTTTATTTTGACTTATTATCTATTGAAGGTAATTAAACTGAAATTTGGTTCTAAATTAACAAAAGAAGCTTACGTTACTTTATTGCGGAAATCAGAAGTGCTAGAGTGCTCAAGTGCTTGTTGATTACGAAAGTAAGATTGCCAAAAATATTATCTTCCCTGTTGCTGGGAAAATACAGTCAGAATTGAAAGTAATTTCAAACATTTTTAAGAGTGAAATGAGCAATATTAAGCTAATTAAAACTCATTTGATCTCTGGAACATCAGAGTTTTTTATTAAAATACCATACCATAGCACCAGCTAAATGAGCATGGTAATGTCAACGTGTTCATACCTGTCATTTATTTTGACATTGGAGTCGGTGAGAGGATCGTATTGGAAACGCATCAGGTGAAGGTGCAGGACAGGAGGAAAGCTCTGGAAGATGACACCTTTCTCTGCCTCCTGGAGGCCATGTTCTCCAGCATCGTATTTGTTGTCGCCCTCGAGCGTCTCCACGCTGATGTAGTCCCTCAAACTCTCGTAGACTAGCAACACATTTCAAGTCAGCAAAGCTTTACCCATAACTCTTCTAAACAACAATTTAAGGCAGTAAAGCTTTCCCGACAACTCATATAAACAACAATTAAAGTCAGTAAATCTTCACACATAACTCATATAAACAACATTTCAAGTCAGTAAAGCTTTCCCCACAAATCGTATAAACTACAATTAAAGTCAGTAAAGCTTTACCCACAACTCATATAAACAACAATTAAAGTCAGTAAATCTTCACCCATAACTCATATAAACTACAATTAAAGTCAGTAAAGCTTTACCCACAAATCGTATAAACTACAATTAATGTCAGTAAAGCTTTACCAACAACTCATATAAACAACAATTAAAGTCAGTAAATCTTCACCCATAGCTCATATAAACTACAATTAAAGTCAGTAAAGCTCTACCCACAACTCATATAAACTACGATTTAAGTCAGCAAAGCTTTACTCATAACTCACATAAACTACAATTAAAGTCAGTAAAACTTTAACCATAACTAATATAAACTACAATTAAAGTATTATTTCTCAAATGCACTCAGAATTAAATCCCAAACAATGATAAATAAGAATAAAAAGAATTAGACAGACTAGATTGACTTACTGTGATAGTAAAGGTAAAATCATTGACAACTTACTGTTTTTCTTTCCTTTTATGTTGAGTTGAATATCATAGAAAGTTTCTGTTCTTGAAGAAGTGTAGTCCACATGCTTGCATTTGAAGTAAGACTGTGAAAATAAAAGATATGCATAAGATATGAGAAGCAAATTAACAAATTCACGAGTTAAATTATTTTATATTATTTTAAATTTTTTGCTTGAATAACTTCAACTGCAAGTGTGTATTAATCATATATAAAATAAAAAAATGAATTGCAATACGCTGCAAGTTTCCTAGAAAAAATTCAGCCAATCCCTGGAAATCTCATCTCGTGCACCACGAAAATACCCCAAAAAATTTAAGTAATCTTTATACTTACAAGAGTTTTGCCTTCAAACAGGCGAGGGATGACACCCTCGACGCAGGTGCCTTTCATTTTGGTCTCTAACTTATCCAGGAGCTGCAAGGAAGATTTCAATCAGAAATTTGATCCATGATGGTCTAGATATATACAAATTTACTACTTTGAAAGCTATTTGTACCCAAATTCCCGGTAATGAAAGCTACCATCATTTGACAAAGTTCTGATCCAACAATTAAATCCCATTTCTTCAAAGACAAAATGTATGAAATAAGCGCGTTAATTTGACAACGCAAAGCATTGACTAACCACCCTGAGGAACTCCTGAGCATCATGCTGCATGAAGGAGTCGAGGGTCTCCCAGCCAAAAGATTTTGTAAGTTTCTTGGTGCCCACGGGCTTGTCACTTGTCTGCAGCTCATGGAATACGCGCTGAAGAGCCAGCGCTACGCTCTTGGTTGAGTCGTCACTCTCAGTCGGCATCTTATATACGGCCTATAAAAAAACACCATATTACACTTGGGAAGAATTGTGAACTTGCAGCAAATGTGAAGAAAGAAATATATAACCCAAAAGAGACTAGCAAATGACCACTACCAAGAGATAAGTTTAATAAAATTCGAAGGAAAACGATTTAAAACTGAAGGTCAATTTTAGCAAGAAGAAATTTGTAGTGAATGATGATCCTAATCCTAGATTTGAGGACGATTATCTAAGCAAAAACGTTTATATCATCGAAGAATTCCTATGACTTGGAATTATTATTACTTCTAACAATCAAAGGTAGCTAGCTATAATAGAGCACATGGATGCAATAGCTCAAGTAATAACAATAGTATTGGACATCTCTGGGGACAATATAAAGATAGATCTAGCTCTTTCTGGCATTGCGCAGCTAGTTGGTGAAGTAGAGCACCTGCAACACTCACCATGCGCAGCTGGTTGGTGAAGTAGAGCACCTGCAGCACTCACCATGCGCAGCTGGTCAGTGAAGTAGAGCACCTGCAGCACTCACCATGCGCAGCTGGTCGGTGAAGTAGAGCACCTGCAGCACTCACCATGCGCAGCTGGTCAGTGAAGTAGAGCACCTGCAACACTCACCATGCGCAGCTGGTTGGTGAAGTAGAGCACCTGCAGCAGAGAGTTCATATAGCACGTCGCCCCCTGGTTCTTGAGGCCCACGTAGCCCGTGTGTTTCTTGCTGTCCCAAGACACGCCGTGCGGTGCATCAGCTGACACACACACCTGTAACAAGAACAACAATCAGTAATTGGAAGCTTTGCTTACTACATCTTTGTGTTTCTTAATATTATGTCTGAAGTAAAAAGAAAAATTACCTCAATAGTCATGCAAGGAGCATTTTTTCAAAGAATTTAACCTCATTTTTAATCGTTTAAAGTAGATAATTCTCCAGAGAATCTATCCTACTCATGAAGATTGCAGTAATTGCATTAAATTCAATCTCATAATATAACCTTGAAACTTATGTTGATTAAAATATATTTGCACAATAAGATTTAATTGCAGCTTCAATAACACTGGCATGAAACTTGAATCCAAATATGCCAAGAAAATATAGCAGCAATAAAATGTAATATTATGAGAATTCACCTCAAGGGTTATGGTATCATCTTTAATGTAGCCTCTTTCAGGGTCCAAGACCTCATTCCATGCCATGAAGTGAGAAAAGCCCCAGTCATTCTCTTTGCTGTAGAATAAGTGATGAATCTCTGCGCGGGCGGAAAGCACATAAGTAAAATACAATTTGAAACAAACAACCTAATCCTGGGATAAATTAACTTATGACTGGATTTGAGATCAGTAATCCTATTTAAACAAGTTCATGTAAAATCCGTACTAACAGTGGCGTACCGTTCATTTCATTTTATACTTAAACTCATGATATGCAGAAAATATTGATTAAATTGGTCTATTAAAGGGATGACGAAGGGATGTGCATGAAAAGATTCATTTAAAAAAAAGTGCAAAACAATTTTTTTTGGTTTCAGGCAAAGAAAATTTTGATACATTGTCAAACAGAAAACCGAATCAACCATCAGGCGCAATAACATAATTTAAAGCTGGACATAAGGTTATAAGTCAAAGAAAAATATTCAAAACCTGATCAAGCTATGAATGAACTCACTTCTGCTGAAATTTTCCACACCCTCTTTAACAGAGAGAAGCCGCAACTCTGCTATGGCATTACAGGACCAAGACGCAGATTCAGATTCTCCATTACACTGCAGAAAAAAGCCCAAGGACCGATTACATTGTCTTTCAGTACTGTTTTGGCCTTGAATTTGCTGTTGCTGCATCCGCTGCATTACCATTATCTTCCAGGGTAAGTTGCGCACGTAACACGGAGGTGACAGAACCGTTTCCTTCAATTTACTAAACTGCGGTACAGAAAACTTGAAGGTGGCTTCAGAACGAGCGTCATCTGGAAATTAAATTAGGAAGACTAGATGAGAGACAATTATTGACAATAGATATTAATATTATAGGTAGAGAAGTCTATAAACGATTTTCTATAAACAAATATATTAACAAAATAAATTAATTTTTGACAAGACGGTGATAGTGGTAAATACCTACTCTAAATTTTACATTTCCTTATCAACAAAGGATGCCCAACAGTATGATATTGATATGAACAAACAAAACAATGCTGTAATAATAAAATTTCTCAACTTTCTCACCATCTTCCATTTCCTGGTCAACATGGTTGGTTGAAGACGCAGCAGCAGGAACAATGTTTGCAGGTGGCTGCTGCTGCAAGGCCGGGTTGCTGGCTGGGGGCAGAGCTGCCTGGTTGTCCACGGAACCCTCTGTCCTGCCGTTGATGACGTCATCACGTCGTCCTGACACTCGCCTCCTCACTCCATCTCCATCCAGCCCTCCACCATCGTCATCTCCTCCAGTGTCTGCACAGACAATTTCCCAGGAAAATGTAACAATAAGGTAACAGTCGTTGGAAGATCCCCAAAATAATGTAACAAAAAGGTAACAGTAATTGACAGATCCCCAAAATAATGTAACAAAAAGGTAACAGTAATTGACAGATCACCAAAATAATGTAACAAAAAGATAACAGTCATTGACAGATCACCAAAATAATGTAACAATAAGGTAACAGTCATTGACAAGTTATTCTAAATTTAGTTAAAATAGCCCTGGCACTACAAAGCTAAGCATCGACCACTCCAGGTAAACGTTTTGTCAAACTAGAGTTTGGTATTAAAGCTACCTGTATATACTAGGTAGATAGAAGTTTTTTTTTTTTTTCTCAATCAAAATTGATCATTTTGAAACGCACTGCAAAATTAAAAAAGTCAGCCCTAGTGGTAAAACAAAAGAAAAACATGAATAAACTTTTTATTTTTTTGTAACAAGGAAACATTTTTACATATATTTTTTTTTTTTTGGTTTAATATTGCAACATTATTAGGTTAAGCAAATGAATACCTTAATATATCATTAATAAGTTAATACTATAATTAGAACAATTAGAATAGATTCAAGATTGTGCTGCTTCAATCAAAATACATTTTTTGTCAATGGATGGTCAATGAATCACAGTAATTATATAAGGAATTAATGGGACAAAAAAGCCCACCTTCTTGCGTGTCCATCATTTCAAGCTGTTTGTCAGGAGTGGGTGGGCCTGTCTGGTTCAAATGGTTCATTTTTTCCGCCGGTGGCAGGATGACACTGTGCTTTTTAGAGGGCCGCTGAGGCGAAGAAGCTTTAGCAGCACTGCCGTCAACACAAGAGATGTCAGGGATTGAATGCTGGTCTCCAGTGCTGTCGCTACCCTGATGATCTTGATTCTCGTTGATGGTGCATGCAAGGTCTGAGCCAGAAGAAACCTGCTGGCAATAATTTCATTAGCTTGGTAGATTATGAATGGATTAACTTCCATGATTGATTCAGTATTTGGTCCCTATTGGTATGAACACCAAATGCTAGTTCTTAAATTCACACACCTGACATAGTCTTTATTATTAGTACACACTTCAACAAAAGTTTCAATTAAAATTTTGTACAACCACAAATAAAAAATTGCTTTAATTAAAAAATTCAACAGAATGACATAGGTATATATAGGAAGAGTTATCACACCTTATTACAGTGACTGAGGGTTGCTGAACCTTTCTTCTTATTCTTGCCTATGTGCCAAGCCCTGCTATTTTTGCTAGAAAGCAGAAGCCCTTTATAATCTTCTTCAGCTGTTATGGGCACCTGAAATAATATCAATAATGTTTAAATGCATAAGTAAATGCATGTCACATGGATATGTTTGAGTGTGGTAGCACATCTGGGGGTAAAACTATTTTTGGCACATTGCTGATTATTATTGTTAAGATAATGCAAATAGTGAATACAATTGAAAGCATATACAGTCACTCATACAAGTATCCAGTTTGCTAACTAGGTTCATATTGACAAATTTTTTTACATACGGTATCTTATTTTTTACATATCTTATTGACAAATTTTTTATTGTTTCTCTTTATTTGGAAAATCAGGTTTTTGTGGGATTGGAAAGTTTATATATAAGGCTTCTAAGAAACATTTTATCAGAATTTATGACAATTCAAATATGCAATATCTATTAGCAAGTAGATGAGGAGTTATTTACGATGCTTAAAATTTCAATTTGGAAATGACATAAGTAAAAGGTACTTATCTCAGATGCCCTTTGATTAAAGTAAAGGGTATCTTAGAAACTCTTTACTCCAATCCTAAATCAGGTCAAAATCTAATCTTGTATTACTCTGAGAATAATTCTAATGTCTTGACAAATCTGTTGATTTGGAAATTGATACAAGACTCGTCCTTGATGATAAGAGCCTCTGCTATTGCCAGTCTAATAATGTGGGAGCACCGCGTGATGATGCTGGTGCAGGCTTCCAACGTAGTGCAGGTGATGGTCTTGTAGTGGGTGTCCCATATACAATTCTTTTGCACTCCAGTTTGCAGATGACACATGAGTCTGCGGCTCAAGGTAGTGCTAGTCAAACAAATGTAATTTACGTTTTGGGTAAGTCTACAACCTCCTTTCATGCAAGAAAATTAGTAAATAACATTGGTTTCTTGCAGTGGTGCAACACTTTTTACATGGATTATTTTTTCTGATTAAATTTTTCATCTTTTTATTTCTGTAGTAAATCAAGAGCTTGATTTAAATAAACTTACACATTTCATTAAACTGAACAAATCAACTCTTGATTTACTACAGAAACAAAAAGATCAAAAATTTAATCATGAAAAATAATCCATGTAAAAAGTATTGGACAGCTGCAAGAAACCAATGTTATTTACAAATTTTCCTGCTTGAAATAAGGTTGTATACTTCTGCAAAATGTAAATTACACTAGTTTGACCAGTACAACCTTGAGCAGCAGACTCACATGCCATCTGCAAACTGGAAGACAAACAAATCATACGCAGGAGGCCTACAATGAGACCATTACCAGTGCCAAGTTGGAAGCCCGCACCAGCATTGTCATGCGGCACCCTGATGATAAGAAACTGGCAATAGCAGATGCTCTCATCATCAAGGATGAGTCTCTGGCAATCAGTTTGCAAAGCACTGGATTTGATAGGACATAGAAATTATTCATGGAGTAATTTAATTCTTTATTTTGGACTGTATCTAAGATAATCATTGTATGTACTTATCATCAAACAGGGTAATAAGGGACATTTTTGAGAATTTTTCATTGATAACTTCTTACTATTAAACAGTTCATAAACAAGTTTGTGCTCATTTTAAAGCTCTTTGTGAGGGCTAGCAAATGGAATCTCTAAAAAAATCCATATGCTATTCGTAAGGTGCCAGATGCAAAATAAAAGCGTCACTAATTATTACTGGGAATGGGGTAATCTGGGACACTTGAAATAAAACTCAATTTTAAAACGTATGAAGCATGCAAAGTGTACTCAGCCACTACTAACAGTACTCTAAAGTCCTCCTCTTCCTTTGAAGATGATGTAGATGTAGAATAAATGATATTTCCTGTGTTTTTTACTTGTTCTTCCATTATTAATATTGCCATATCCATACATTATTGTATTATTGATGTGATATTACCATATCCATGGATATGCATGCTATTGTGCATTTACAACAACCTTGTCCACTGCAAGCTTCATATCAGCAGCAGTATGGCATTTCTTCTGTATCTGTAAGCTTACAGGACGGCTTGTAATTTCACACCATTTTAATTGGGTCAAGTGAATTCACTATAACAAAAAATGATCATAAAAACATGCTTGAAACAGAAAGGAATATTTTAATGACAATCATAATATTTTTGGAGAAATAAATCATAGTTTAGGTTAATAACTTTTTCATTCTATGTTGCCTGGTGCACCATTCTATCCATGACATTTGTGATAACTTATGATGTATTAAGGGGAGCATCTACCCTAAAATTGTAAATTTTTACTTTTTCGGTTTTCATACTAATTTTAAAGCTGACATTCTGCCCTATCCAACGGTACCACTGCCATCTCTCTACGTTGATTTATGATTTCACGACATTTCATGAAAGGGAGGCAGGTGGGGGAGTTCTTTAAGTAATTAGATAGGAACTAATTAGCTGCTGAGCTCTTTAAATATAGTGTCTACTTGAGTTGTGCTGCAGTTACGTATTTAGTCTCATCTTAAAGCTGACATTCTGGCCTCTCCAATGGTACCACTACCATCTCTGTACGTTAATTTTTATGTACACGACACTTCATGAAAGGGGGGCGGGGGGGAGTTCTTTCAGTAATTAGATATGAGATAATTCGCTGTCCACCACTACAAATATAGTGTTTTTGTGAGGTCTGACTCAGTGTGCCTCCGGGCTTTGTAGGGAGAGATGCGCATGTAGTTGCTCCCATCATCCTTGAGTGGAATCAAGCTCCAGAAACGTTTAGTTTGGTATCTATGCTACATTGAGCGCATATTGTGGTGCGCGCGGGACTGTCGCGCTCTCCTCAACATTCACACTTATTGTCACGGAAAACCTATCTCCTCCTAGAGTTTTAAAGCTACAACAATGAGTCATATACCATTCGATTTGCAAAGAATAGATCTACAAACTGACCTAGCAGTCTTTTCAATTTCGTCATAGTTTGGATTTTATTCCTGAAAAAGGGGGAGTGGAAAGGGGTAAAATCGAAAAATTTCCGAAAACTTTACGAAAAATGCTCCCAAACCCGCAAAAATTAGAAATTCAAAAAACGGCTAAGTCGTTTTATAGATAAAGATTTATATATAGATTTATATATAGATTTAAAGCATAGTTATGCGGTGCCCCGACCCATCGAGACTGATGATAGCTGAGGCTCTCATTATCAAGAGCGAGTCTCCAGCTATCAACCTCCAAACTACAGGATTCGTCCGGACGCTGAAATTATTTTCAGAGTAATTTTAAGTTTATACATTTTGTTGTATCCGCATTATTTATTTTATTGTATCCACTATACCATTCATATGTACTTCAGTCATTTCAAATTCAATTTCAAATGTTGTAAAACCTTCTCCAGCTTGATAATGAAAATTGTATTTTCAAAACGTCGCAAACTATTAAAATGTCATTCGGAAACCTGCTTTTCGATCTCCCGACGCCAGCAAGAAATTTGGTTTGACTCATTGAAAAAACGAACAAGAAGATTGTTAATAAAAAGCATGCTCTGGTCTTCAATCAAACTTGCATATATATATGTGTGCATAACAGCATAGGGCATGGGTATGTTTGCATGCAGTCAGCCAGAAATCTGTTTTAAACTATTTTTGGTATTTATATCTTAATTAAACTATTTTTAGGGAGGACAGGACATCTATTTTTCTACAAACTTTGGTAGAAAAATAGAGGCCACAATTATACACTTTTGTCAACAATTAGATAGGACTGAATTCATTTAGCAGGAATCTTGCAGTGCCAAAAATGCCAGGAAAGCTCTAGTAATAGCTTAGAAGGTAAATATATTCCACGTCACCTTACAATTTACTCAAACAAATGACCATTTATATTTACAACAACTTGTGTCAAGGTGTAGCACAGATTACTGCCACAGCCACATTAATAAACCTATGCAGCTTTTCAACAGGTACAAAAATATCTACTTTCTAAGCTACAACCACTCTTGTCTTTACAAGCAGCAAGATTTCCAAAAGACTAGTTACATCTCTAATACCCGATTGTTGATAAAACTAAACTTTTATGGTTAAAAATTTCCAGTTTGCCCTAAGCTTCCAAGCCTCAGTTATCGACGTCTGTGAGGGGACCTCATTGAAGTAAACAAGTATACTCATGACTTATACAAGGTCCCAGAAGGATTACTAGAATTTGAAACAAGAACCAACACCAGGGGCCATGGCTATAAACTAAAAAAACAGTGTTGGAACACATCCATGCGACAACATTTCTTCTCGCTTCGAGTCACCGACATGTGGAACAGCCTACCTGATAGCATTGTTGACGCTCCGAGTATGAACATCTTCAAAAACAGACTAGACAAAGCTATGCAGGAGCATATGTTCAGTCTTAAAATGCCTAGCAAATTACAGACCAGGCAATAAGTCCAGCAGCTATCTCAATCAATCGTCAGCTATGGAATGATTGGGTTCCAAAGGCCGGATCCCTTGTGAATCAAGTCACGAAAAGTTCAAGAATCGGCAACAGGCCATGGGCCTATTTCTTCAGCGCCGACACTTCTATTCTATTCTAAATATTTGAGATAGGAGCAGCAACACTTCAGTATAGAGCCAATCTGGAATATCAAGCAGAATTTGTTGAAAATAAGGGTAAACACACCATATTCCGACACTTTAAAAACGTAGCAAGAAATGAATGGCTATAAAAAGATCACCGTATGCGCAACTCGAGTTCTGATTGCTTAATGTCACTCTCAAAACACCACACCTTGCGCCAGCAATGATGAAATGTCACAAACTGTTGCCATATTTATTTAACAGAATTCAAATCTACAAAATCTCAGAATTCCGACACTGTGTCAGCTTGTGTGTGACTAAATTTGGCATATTGTTATTGTGAGACTAATTCCGACAGCGCCTCAAAACTGTAATTCGTACGGTAATTCCAACACCCTGTGTTGGAATTATTCCTGCTAAAGCCAGAATATTCCTGCTAAAGCCAGAATATTCCTGCTAAATGAATTACCTCATAATAATCCTATAGTTGTTAATAAGAGTGTATGATTAGGCTGCAGAATTACATGTATTTAAAATTTGACACATTGGGGCTGGAAATGGAAAATGAAAACTTCTGTACTAAATAGAAAAATTCCTATCCTGGGTAGGTTCTGCCAAATTTTCCAGTTTTAGTGACAGTGCAGAAAACTATAGATTGCATCATTTCAATGCAAATAAGTGCAGCATTTTGCAAAATGTTAAGTGCTACTGAGTACTGTGCTAGCAGCTAGCTGCCAGATGTGAATCTTGTGCTCTTCAAAATATCCAAATAATTAAACTAGAACTGCAAAACATAAATTAAACAATCAGTTGAACAAAATAGAATTAACTAAGAGCTCCTCATGTCAAACATTCACTCTCATTCTTGGCAATCATAGCCAAATTCCGACATAGCATCACTCACATCTCACGACACGATCAGTCGATCATCTGTCAACAGTCAAGGGTCAATATAGAAGCATTAGAAGGTGAATATAACCAATTGCTAAAAACGAAAATTTAATTGTAGATAGAACACTTTCTCGGACTTAACTTGCGTCTAACTTTAGTTGTGTCGATAAAATTTCATATACATTAATTTCAGTTCGATGACTTCGATCTCATTTTAGCATGCGTAATGAAATTGAGATCCGATAATTATCACCCAGCGAACTCAAACATACCTACCTTCTGTTTACTCGCCACGCGCCCAATGTCGGCTAATTGCTCCTACCCCTGACGTCAGGGGCAACAAAATATAAATATTTTTGCACCATAAATATATACCATCAATAAAGAATATACATTCTCGTTGTTGATTGACACGAAATCGATAGTGTAAGTCGTCTTCAGCCCGGCGTTTACACAGAATTCTTTAGCTGCTGATTATCAAAACATTCGGTATGCAACTTAAGTCTACAAAAAACTCAAAACAAATGCCAAAATTCGAGTAAGAAAACGAGCTAGCACACAGTAAAATATCAATACAAATTTTTAGATATTATGAATGTTTTTTCATACTTTTAATTCGAACAATCTAAGTATAAGTGCATTCGCCTTCATTCTAAAAATCGTGCTGGAACTGTCTTCCTCTCTGTTAAGGAATTAAATATGGCCTCCAAACTCGTATCATATATACTGGGCATGGTAATCCTCGAAAAATTCCCTTTTAACAAACTGTGAGAAATTACTAATTCAAATTCTAACTTTTTTATTCACCCTACAAGCTAGTAGGAATATTTGTTCTTCCCTTTTTAACTGTGATGCTGTTGCAAGTCATTGAAAACATTTTCATTTTAAGATGATTTCAATTTATCACAAAAATTAACTATGAACGCACATAACTTCTGTAAAAAGTGACTCATTGAAACTTGAAAATATAATGGGAAAGCGTGGTGAAAATATGAGAAATGAACCCGATGAATTTTCAAATGACGGAATAAATTAATCTAGGTAGTAATGACGTTTCTATTATATGTTAGAATATTACGTTCTCATAGCCACCCACCCAAACATTGATATTGTTTTAGCGCATTTTCTCATTTATGGAAAAAAGGCGCTATTGTGCTCGTCATTTCCGTCCGTCTGTCCGTCCGTCCGTCCGTCTGTCTATCTGTCTGTCTGTGACTTCACGTTTTCGTCGATTTTGAGAAAATGCGCTCTCTGTCACTCACTGCAGCGAGTTCTGAGTTATATTTTTATGATATTCGTTCTCTATGCCTTTAAACATAAGCAATGGCCAAACTTAATTGGTATCTGTCGTCCAAGGCTTTATAAAAGAGGTTGTACAAAATTTTCATCGAATCACAAAACTTTATGTGAGAATTACTATGACATCAAGAACGACAAATGTTAGTGTTTCGCTTGAGCAAAATTAGCCATAAATTTGTCACTTAGTTTAGGATCACAGAAGAATATTCGATCGTATGTTTCCAGTTCATAGAATTCATCGCTTCTGGTAGAGGATGCACAAAAGACGCCAAGTACGGAGAAGGCACAGAACATCAACAGGCCTGGGACCTTCAACGAGGATCATCCTATGTATCATATGTATCTTATGTATCATATGTATTCTATGTATCTTATGAATCTTACGTTTGATTTGAAACATGAAGATTACAAACACCGGCCGTAGCAAGTATAAAATAACAAAGAAGCTACCAATCTTGATCAACAACAACGTCATAAAGTCTGAAATATCATAAAGAATACAATTAGTCATTATATAACGAAGTGACTGATGGTAAACTTGAGTTACAAAGAGCTCATCAAGCAGTCGTAACATCAGCAGAGGCAAGGACAGCGATTTTTCCTCGATTTGAGTTACAAAAAAGTGCTCTGAAAATAGAGAAAAATATGCCATTGTGAAATAAAGCTCCAATGAAATTCGATCCATTAATTTAAAGAGGTAAGCATCGCATGTATGGAGACTACATATCAACATTGCTGAGCTGTCAGCCTATGCACCATCTTGTATGGTCTAATCAACCTAAAAAACTACTTAATGCCACAGCCCTAAAAACCAAATGCCACTGAAGACGGGAAAATTTTTAAGTCGAAAGCGCTTCTTTCTTAACTCGATACCCGACAACTCCAACTCTCAGCCGACCTAATTTGTGTATATTTTTTTGTCTTACGTCTATATTCAAACTGCAGGGCTAAGTTCGCCTATGACTTGAATTGCTGCTACCAATATCCACTTAAAAATTTCATGTGTCATTTCCATTGCCTCAAATCTATTTCATGGGTCACGAAAGCACTATAGTTCTACAACACAAGAGTAACTTGCTACACTTTGTTAGACCATTTGCTCTCGCCACAGCAGATTCTGCATCAAAATAATTCATATTTTGATTAATTCGTTACGCCATCAGGGTTAAACAACATCCTACCTGAGAACATGAGCATGGGGTTCGATTGAAAATCCTGTACTATTTCGAAGAGAAATAAAATAACAGTACCAAGAAGAAACGAAAGTACCGAAGATGTTGTTGCTGTTAGAAGACATTCTTGATTACTTATTTTCAAACTTCAAATGTTGTCGAGGAATTATTCGATGCAGCGCTTGTAATCCTACAAAAATGTTAGTTGACTTTTAAACTTTTTTTCCCACTTATTGACGTACTCAGAAAGGAAGTCATCATCAGGAATAAGTTGCGCCCCGCTCGATTTTTTCAATAATTTTTAATCTGACGCCAGTATTTCGAAGAAAGACAAGTTAATATTACACAGTTGCAAATATTCATTAACAAATTGCAGGCCTTGCATGCTAGATCAAGCGATACTTTCAGCAAATTTTGCGATATGATCCTCCGAATAACGAAAGAGGTTTTTTTCGGTTTCTTCTCAGCATAGTCACTGGCCCAAAATATTTTGATTGCCTGGAAACTTTTGATTCCCATGTTTTTTAGAACAAGTTGAACAACGCCTGAAAAAATTGGGTTGCTCCATTAGTTATATTCTTTGGAAAGAATCTCTATGGCAAAACCACAATAGCAGTCGACCCACGTCTGCAGTGTGCCCGGTAAAACGAAAATCTCTTGTTTGGTTATTCTTCAAACCCAACGAAAATATCGGGAAGTAAAATTTAACATCCTGTACTCTCCAATGCATTTTTCTTATTGAGGAAAACTCTCTTGCAAATGGGAATATCAAAAACACAAAGGAGTACAGAAGTCTCTAGCATATTCGCAATGAAAATGGTTCACACAACAAGCTAAGACATAAGCACGGCTGAGTTATCTCGCAACCAACGAAGCCATATTGATTGATAATTACCAGAAGGCAAACTTCCAGCAAATCCTGGACATAAATGAGAACAACACTGGAGATATCGTCTCTTGGGTGGATCCTGGTGCAACATGGAAGATATTCATTACAAACTTGTTGAGAGCGGAGATTCAACCACAATTTAAATGTGCCCAGCGTGTTGCTCCATCGTAAACATAACTTGCCGGAATCACGCTCCTTATCCAGATTGAGTCGGTAAGCTTCTTCTGTAGCAGAATCATTAACTTTTTCTGTTGTATTGTGGTATGTATGAATGCATGGGATCACTGCTCCATGGATCTAACTTGAAGCTCTGAATCGAACTGTATAAGATGAGCACGCCAACTGGTATATAAGACGACCAATAAGCACGTACTGCATACAGATACCTCAGCGATATTAAATATTTGCCAGCTGCAACCTGGGAAGAAACAATTAACCTGCTAACTTGTAACCTGCGACGTTAAAACCTGTTTACTAGTAACCTGCGGCATTACAACCTGACAATTGTGACGTAACATGCAGCTAACCTGTAACCTGTGACGTTACAACCGTAACCTGTGACGTTACAACCGTAACCTGTGAGGTTACCTGGTGCTTACCTGTTACCTGCAACGTTGCAATTTGCTAACCTGTAACTCGACGTTACAACCTGCAAACCTGTTATGTTCGTATATTGCGGCATACATTATACTGAAACGTACGAAAAAATTACAAAGTCATCGACTTTTACTGAATATACATATTCCATACTTGCACCCAATACCTAAAAAAATCCATAAGAGAGCCGCGGTCCTGAAGTAGGACTGCTAAACGATTGAATGAAAAGGAAAAAACACAAAAATTACTCATTTTGTAATAAGTCCGCGAACAAAGTGGATTTGCATTGGTTGATTTAGAAAAATCGTTTTAGCCTAGTACTAACTCAAGACGATGGTCCTGTAAAACACAAAATTAAATTCAAATTCTAATCATGAATGAATTTTTCTGGTACGAGTCAGTGGGCGAGAAGGCTGTTTAAAAGCTAATTAAGTTGGCAGATAATTAAACTGTTTTTTAAAACGGGATGCATTTAATTGTGCGGAATGAGGTGGCAGAAATAAAAATTTGCCAACCATTTTGCCGCGCAGGAAACGTTTCTTCGGCGCTCCGTACAGCTAATGAAGGGCCTGAGGAACGCCTAACTGGCAGGCGAATTCTTTACAAAAATATAACTCAGTACTCACTGCAGTGAGTGACAGAGAGCGCATTTTCTCGTCGACGAAAACGTGAAGTCACGGACGGACGGACGGACAGACAGACAGAGAGACGGACAGACGGACATGGCGAGCAAAATAGTGCATTTTATTCATAAATGAGAAAATGCGCTAAAAAGAATTTGGAGTGCTACCCCATTTTTGTTGAGAGATTGGCACAGAATCATATCCCAAGTTGCATGGAACGAAGCATATGATTGCATATAAAATGGAAAAATGATTTATTAAACCTGTACATTCTCGGCCAGTAAACACAACAGAATTAAAAGGTGTTCGAGCAGTAATAAATAAAATTTTAAGTAGGAGTTAGTTACGGTTCACGCCTGCTTTATATTTTTAGGAAAGTGGGAGATTTAGGTTTCTAACTAAATGCAGAATTAAATCGTATCCCGCAGTTATATGATTTAAATTTTGATTTTTAATTTTAATTTAACCCCACGTGTGGATTAATTTGAAATAGGAACAGAAATATTAAAAGGGATATATAGTATGTGACTTTAGAATCGCACTTGCCGACCAAGCCGTTCACTCTATATTGCATGCAACGGGAAATTATAAATTACTCTATCAAATTTACCCTATTTGGTGAGATCAATTTTGGCCAATGTAGTTTTATAAATCGCACAAAAAAACTCTTACATCTCACGAGATACTGATGCCCTCAGCTACAGCTCCTCCCTGTTATATTGTAGCTTATTCCCAATAATATTTATTTCAATTTCACTGCCACAACTTATTCCCATTTCTTTTGGTTTTTATATTGTCATTCAGTTATGTCTTGGTTAATAACTAAAGTTTCTTCCTAATTTACTTAATTATTTACATTTTAGGAGTGAAATTTTGCTGAGCTGTCCGGAA